AGCTCTGAAAACCCTGAGGATGACGAGCCCCCTTTAACCGTCAGTTTCCCTTGACCCGTCCACCTTAGCAATTTTTTTGGTTTCCATCTTAAAACCTGGAACAATTTGCCTTCTTTTATATCACATCTTTGTATAGGTAATCACATGATTTTTCTCGTGCAATTTGGAATAAATAAGCACGAGTAAATTTTTCAAAGACCAACAAAAGTGCACGAGCCCGTAGAAAAAAAATAACTACAACAACAAATTTTGACAGTGCGCGCGTTTTTAGTTCATTCAACTGATTGGCTGAAACAGTCTACTACTATTGTCAAATTCAAACTTTTTCAAGACCAACGCTTTCAAAATCATTCAGCTAAGAACTTGGAAATGTGCAAGGATTTTTTTATATGGTCACTAGCTTGTTAAAGATAACTTGGTTTACAATAATCAGCAAAAGTAAGTGTTTTTAAATTTATCCTCGATTACGAGAGCTCGGCGTTTACCAAGAAGCGTTTACAAGAAGCATACTGCCGTTTTGAAATCGGGAGAACGCTTCGAGCAGCCAAAGATGAAAGACACTTGCTAAGGTTTTTTAACGACTGTTCATCATTGTCTGTTCCTGAGACCCAATCATAGCTGGATTTCGTTGCTTGTGATCGTAATTATGATTGACCGCAGCAAAAAACGCAATTGTGAGGGCGGCTTTTGAACTTTAGAGTTCGCATGTTTGTGAAAAGTGCAGTAAAAAAAATATTGCCTCTTTGTCAAACGGATATGTCATCTTTCGTTACCCCCTCTTCCCGAAAAGCAAAGCAGAATTCTTGTCGTTAACCTTTCAACATATCGCTTAAGGAATGAAGACAAGTACTGAATTTTAAAGGGCATGCACCTTTGATGATCATTCACTTGAGGTTCACGACATCTCTTAATAATTATAACAATGATACGACAACGAGAATTTTGATGATCGATGCTGCAGAATCAATACACAAATCTGTACACTATCTTACCGACACTTAAGATAGAAACTGTTTTACTGTTCGATATTCCAATTTGGGAATCCATCTGTACAACGCCGCGAATGATACCTAGAGTGAAAATGATTCTCGACCCCAAATGAACCAAGCTCCCTGAGTTTCCTCCAACTCGGCCCTGGTAGGAGAGAACCCCAGGGGCCAATTTAATAAACCTTTCACAAATGCAATTTACAAGTGTAGCTATTCTTTTTAGACCCTAAAACAATGGCTACACTTGTAAATTACACATGTAAAAGTTTTATAAAATTGACCCCAGGAATGAGGTTACGAACGCCAGTGAACTGGAATATCAACTAGAATCTGAATTCCAATGATCTGGAATATCAACTGGTAGGGAGCTCAAGTCCCAAAGTATTTTTGTAACATATTTCCAAATTTAAATAAAGTTGAAGTCAAAGTTGATATCGTGAACTGCGGGAATGAGGAATGGTATGTGACAGGATAAGGGATAAGACCTAGAAACAGAGCCTCCCTATTTACAGAACATTTTTGAGTGCCCTCCCCACCCATTATGACTCCACTTCATTTTCCAATGTCCAATTTATCAGCTATAGCTCTAAGCAATTCAGTTTGAGCATCGACAACGGCCTGTAAATCCTTGATGCTTTACTCTTGTCTTTCTAATCGTTGTTAAAAGTCATTAGTCTCTTTCTCGTTGTCTCCAAAATAGGACTGTTGCTTTCGTAGCGTGTCCATGAAGTCACTATCGACGAGACCAGACCCTGAAAGGGCTAAGCTGAAGGAGAAACAACATTGACGAAAAGAGTGAGAATAATTAAGGCCAATAAAGGAGGTACACCCCAGACTTTTGGATTGTGTGCTGTGAAGAGAAAGAAAAGACATGGCCAAGCTATACAAACTTTTCCTTTAGCATGCAATCTGGTGCATAAATCAGAAGATAAAAATTAGTTTTATCAATCAGTATTGAGGTTAATTAGCCATAGTAAAGATACTCAAAAGCAGAATCCTATAAAGAAAAGAGCTGGATTTCGATTTTTACCCTGGCCAATTTGCCGTATTAACCTACTTAACTGATAAAACTAATCTTCGCAGACAGGTAACTACGCTCTTCTAATTATATAACAGGAGTAAAAAAAAGTTAAAGCAGGCTTGAGCAAATATTAGAAACAAAACATAAGAGCGGGAATCCTGATTAGTAGGGGGGAGGGGGGGGGACAACCAGTTGGCTATTCACAATCGAGGGCGACGAATTTAAATTCTGAAATATTAATACCCCAACTAGAAGAGAGCTCAAGCAACAACATCGGCGACGACAGCGAAGACGTCACTTAAAAAGAGCATTGGCGCTGTCTCAAACTTCTTCGCTGTTATTCTATCCCGTTCAATTTGTTAAATGTTGGCGAATTTTTCTGGGGTTAAATTCTAAAGATCTGTAGCTAAGTTAGAAAGAGAAAAAAGTTATTTTGTGTTCACATACTCCGTAAAACGTGAAATTAGAAAGTTTCACGTCGTATTCGTGCAACGAGGGCAAAGAAATGTACAGTCAAAATTACGTGATACACTTTGTTTTGCTAATCTAACCCAAATGTTTTTGTTCGTTTGTTGGTTTGTTTGTTTTTCTTTTTCTTTTTTTGTGTGTGTGTTGTTGTTGTTTGTCGTTATCATTACCGTCGCCGTAGTCGTTGCTTAAGCCGTAAGCTGTCTGGTGGTCACTGGAGGTGGTAAGCCCGAAACCTAAAGGTTACATTCTTGATCGTTTTCTTCTGGAACTTGTAGCATCTTGATAGGGGACCTCTCGCGCGCGCAAAGCGCGCGCAGCGGAGCACCACGGGTAAGAAAATTTGGTCACCTATCCATCCAGGACATTTTGGCTGTGACATAAAGGACACGTGGCCGTACGTCCAGCCGACCGCCCGGGCGCCGTCCGTCCGCACCACAGGGAAACCACTATGTACTCTCACATTTTCTAGCTAGTTTGGGAGCCCAGGAGAAAACTGATTGCACATCAATGTTGTGATCAATTGACAGCTGTCAAAACAGGGTAGCCGCTGACCAGTATGCCCTGACCGTATCGCGAGTCGGGTGTCGACCCATCCAGGTCGAGTATTTTTTGAAGTTATCCGCTGACAAGTTACTAGTTTTCAAATGATCATAGGCTCAAGTTAATTTTGTTAAACATTCATATGAAATATGTTGTGTTTATGTCACTATGGCCCCGCACTATTAAGATTTTGATTTCAAACTGACCTCGGACGCGAAAATTCATCCAGTTATTTAAAAACACAGGCGAGGAAAGACCTTTTCTTACAATGGTCACGCGTTGGTCACGCTCTACGTCCAATATTTATGCTCTGATTGGTCAAAATTTGACAGGTGATTTCATGCAGGAAATTTATGCAGCATCTTGTAACTTGTTTACCTTAACAGCTGAAGCTGACAGAGTTTTGTGTCAACGTGTGATATTTTAACTGTCTTTTTCCACTGGATGTACAAAATGAAATATAGCTACCATAAAGAGTCTTCTGTTATTCATGGCTGGTTTGTTTATTGGGTTTTTGTTTGAGAAATGCGTCGATCGTCGAAGTCGGAAATCCGATTTCGGATGGCATCGTTTTCGCTTATGACGTGCCTCATTAAATGGTAAACAACGTGATTAACAAGAAAGCAATTACCTAGAGTTTTGTAGATAAGTGGCACGTGATGTCTTAAGTTTTGGTTATGGTTCGTGCAGAGGAGTTACATTGTTTTCAGCTATTTAACTAAACATAGCTATAATAAAGAACACGTTCACCATGACATTGATCAGCTCTACCAACTTAAAGTGCCACTTCATATCAACATCAATATTTGAGACAACTTCCTCTAAAGAAAAATAAAAAGGTTTCCTCGACGCAAACTCCAAACAGTTTACAGTTGCTGGAGGGTTTTTTGGTTTAAATTTGTTTTTCCTTTATTACGGTACCATGATCATTCTTTTTGGAATAAAAGTTTAATTACGTGCTAATTCAAACCTTAACAAAAATCACCCTTTACGTAAGAATGAATCAGATGAATGTAGCAAATAGGGCGACCTCAAGCGACATACAAGGTCATTACGTAAATAGATGATTTAATTCGAAATACCTTCTCCCCTTCGCTCGCCACAGCTCTAGTTCTACTACGCTATTATTTTCGATTCATTATCTGTTCTTTCTTTTATTTACCTTTCAAGAGCCTTATTTATAGATGCCTTAATTCCTGATGTCACCTGATGTCAGGTGTCAAAATAGACTAATCTCTTATCTCAAGCCTTTTAAAACACTGGGGAAATCCTTCTTTATAGCATGCATAGGATTATTTTTTTACTTCGAGTTTAAGTCGCACTATTTCTCTGGATATAGAGGAAGGACTTGATTTATCTTTTCTCTCCGCGCGTTGCTCACTTTGTTATTGATCGCAAAGTGTTGAATGCTCCCCTGGTTCATTTTTTCAGGCTATGCTGTCGACGTGCTGTGCAGGACTTTAAACGAGCTGTGATTACTTGTGACTAGTGTATTTCGAACCTCAATCATGATTGGTGGATTTCTATCTCAAGTTTCACTCTTGACATTTCTCTCTTTTAAGAGTGAGAACTCGATGACGATGAAATAGAAACTCCAGATATGTTTATGTAAGACCCGCGTATTGTTGTGTGAAAAGATCAAGCTTCTTGATCAATTTAAAATTTAATCCTAGTCAGTAATTTTTAACCTATCGGCAATCGCCTTGAGAATTTCGCATTGTGCTTCTACTGTGGCTTGTAGTTTAAGGATGGCTTCCTCTTGCGTTTCTTGTCTCAATTTCTCGAAAGTTCCGCGAAGTTCGTCTCCTGGACCGCTTTCTCCAGTTCTGTAATTGAGAAGCTTTTCCATAAAATCTCTATCTGAAAGATCATTGCCAGCCAGAACAATCCTTTGGGATTAAAAGAAGCATTATTGTAAAGCTCTACATCAATAACTAATTTTTAATTTTTGTTCAAAGCTATGCTCAAAGTGCCGCTGATCGTGATCAGGCTAAATTCGACAAAGTATTAGTGGTGTACAGTAAAACTGTTAACAGGGGAACAGAAAAGTTGTTTCTAAACTACCGGTTATGTGTTGTTGTTGTTGTTGTTATTGTTGTTGTTTTTTAGAATGCAGTGAAACCTGTATTAGACGGACAACCACGGGACCTTCGCTGGTGAAAATCGATTTTAGTGATTATCAGATATCACATATTAATTTGCTTTAGACTGTTAGCACCGCCCTATTTTCCTGTAAGATCGTCCAGAGCGATTAATGCTAAAGGCGGCCATTTTGACGGAGTCAAGCTTATGACTATTTCAACTAATTAGGGAGGAGGGGATGATTTGGGAGGAGGAGAGAATTTTATTTTGCTCCCCTCACTTCTCCACCGCTATAAAACCCGACGCCCTCCCCTCGGTACATTTGAAACCAATTACAAAATGGCTACCAGTGACGGTGAGCGCTTGATCTCGACGATCTCACGGAAAAATTGGGGACTGTGAACAGTCTAACTTTGCTTTAGGTCAAAACAAAAATGCATCCTTTGGCAATACCAAAAGTTTCAACAGCTCCTCTTTATTTTACATTCTGTCACGGAGTTTTGTGTTACTTTTCGCGCGTGACATTTTTTGACCTTAGATGTAGCGGATCACGTTTCGAACACGTGATCATGTGACACTTTGAACGGAGTAGTTTTTCGATTTAGAGAATTGTAATTTTGTTGAAGGCACGTGTATCGGTTTAGAAGCCCTTTACCTTTGTGGAACCCTATCGTTTTTTGGCAAGTGTAATGGAATAGAAGCCCGTTACTGTAAGAGATCTATTGGTTTGGAATAAAATCTATCACATTTGGTCCTTCGAGCCGGATTTGGAGTCAGAACTAGCCTAAATTATGCCTGGAAAACTAGCGAAGAACCTGAAAATACGTGCGGCGCATCGCTTACACGCAAGGAAAATTCTTTCATCAGTCGATGAACTTCTCATGGATTACGATGGGTCTGATACCACTAAAGACAAGATAAAACGGATAACTATTACGCTCAATGAAAAATTAGCGACCTTAAAGGCCTTCGACGAATCGATTTTGGCCTTAATCGACGAAGGAAATTTAGAACCGGAGATAGAGGAATCTGAAGAGTTTCGCGCGCGAATTCATGGCGCCCTTATCAAGTTACAGAAATGTGAAAATTCTCATGGCAAACAAGAATCGCCTCAAGGAAGTCAAGGTGGGTCTGTTCCATCTAGTTCTAGTAACGGTGCGAAGCTACCAAAACTACACATAAAAAGATTTGCTGGCGACCCAAAAAACTGGCAAACATTTTGGGATTCGTTCTCGTCTGCGGTGCAGACGTTGTTGACAAGTTTAATTATCTGCGAAGTCTATTAGATGGCCCAGCTCTAAATTCTATCACTGGATTACCATTAACTGAACTGAACTATAAGGAGGCTATTGAAATCTTAACCGATAGATTTGGAAACAAGCAGATAATTATTAGCTCTCACATGGAGGCCTTACTCAAATTACAGCCTGTGAATGCCATGTCTAACGTTAAGGGAATCCGAGCTGTTCTCGATAATTTGGAAATTCAGGTTAGAGGTTTACAAGCACTGGGAATTGATTCTGCTATGGAGCTCTTTTGATTCCTATATTCATGGAGAAGTTGCCCGAAGAATTGCGATTGATTGTCAGCAGGGAACATAAGGATAACTGGGAGCTAACTTCTGTGATAAAAGCTGTCAAAAATGAAGTGGAGGCCCGTGAAAGGTGTGATATGAATACATCTGTGGAGAAAAAATCCCCATTAAAGAATTCGTTTAACCCTGGCAATGAATCAACTGCGAGTGTATTGTTGAGCGGAAATCGTGGGGAGTTAAACTGTTTGTTTTGCAAAGGAAATCACCGAGCGTCTGAGTGCCAAGTTGTAACAAATATTGATGAAAGAAGAGAAATTTTGAAGAAACAAGGGAGGTGTTTCAATTGCCTGCGCCGTGGGGGGCACCTAGCCCGTAACTGTGACACCAAAATTCAGTGCTTCAAGTGTAGTGGTCGTCACCATTTGGCAGTTTGTAATAGTGGTATGGCAGACAGCAGTAATATTCCTGCGGGGGCAACAGCCTCACCTGCATTGCATATTGGTTCTGGGATGCATGTTTTCTTACAAACTGTTCAAGTAAATGTCTCAATCCCGGGGAAGGAACTCTCTCATAGTCTCACTGTACGTGCAATTTTTGATACTGGAGCCCAGCGATCGTATATCAACCAAAAGGTAGTAAATACCTTGAAATTGAAAACTGTCAGGACAGAGAGACTGAAAATTGCAACATTTGGGGATCAGAACCAAGAGCTGGAAGCTGTCAACCTGGTCGAACTTTCTTTAACCAAATCAGGAACAGACTTTAAAACAACATTGAATGCATTTGCAGTCCCTCACATTTGTAATGATTTACAAGGTCAAGATTTGGAATGGGTTAAAGAAAGATATCCCAGCTTAAAAAACATTGAATTTGCTGATGTGTGCCCTGCCAGCAATACAATGCAGATTGATTTGTTGATTGGTTCAGATTATATCTGGGATTTCTTTGATGGCAAGTCAGTAAGGGGGGAGGAGTCAGGTCAGGGTGGACCTGTGGCTGTTTCTACCAAGTTTGGATGGGTGTTGTCGGGTCCGGTGGAAAATCTCCCGAGGGAGAAACTTTCAAGTATTCAGTTTTCGTCGACTCACGTGTTGAGGACGGAGTCAAGGGTTGTTGATGATACGCTGCAAGGGGATTTGGATAGATTGTGGGATCTGGATTCTGTCGGCATTCGAGATAAGGATACTGTTCTTGAAGCCTTTGAAAAGAATTTGAGTTTTGAAGATGGCAAGTATTTGGTCCATCTACCTTGGAAGGAGCAACATGGGCTGTTGCCAGATAATTTTGAGAACTGTGTAGCAAGATTGAGCACGCAGCTTAAACGTCTTAGAAAGGATCCAGAGATCTTGAAAGAATATGACTCCATCATACAAGATCAGTTGCAGAGTGGTATAATTGAGCAAGTAGACTGTGCCAAGCGTCCTGATGTTGGAAGGGTGCATTATTTACCGCATCATGGGGTGGTACGCCGGGATGCCCTTACAACCAAACTTCGTGTTGTTTTTGATGCGTCGTCAAGGCCCAGCAGTGATAGTCCAAGTCTTAACGAATGTCTTTACTCAGGACCAGCCTTAACTCCAACAATCTTCAATGTTCTCCTCCGGTTTAGAGAGAAAAGAATTGCACTTGTAGGAGACATTGAAAAAGCCTTTCTCAATGTGGGAGTTGCTGAAGAAGATCGTGATGTCCTGCGATTCCTCTGGGTGGACAGTTTAGAAGAAGAGAATCCCGGATTGATGTTATATAGGTTTTGTCGTGTGGTGTTTGGAGTCAATGCTAGCCCTTTTCTTTTGAATGCCACTTTGAAGTATCATATCAGTCAATATGAGGCTGACCCTGGGTTGGTTCAGAACTTGTTGAATTCATTTTATGTGGATGATTTGGTGACAGGAGAAAGGGGTGTTGAGGAGTGTCTGTCGCTTTATCAGAAGTCTAAGAAGTGCCTATTGGAAGGTGGATTTAACTTGCGAAAGTGGATTTCAAATTCACCTAAATTGCTTGAATTGATTTGTGAGGACCAAGTTGGAACTGTCGGAACTTGTGCTGTAGTGGAGGATACAGAGTCTTATGCGAAAACTACTGTCAATCATTTGGAGAAGCTTGATATGAAGGATGAACACAAGGTACTTGGTGTCAATTGGAACTGTGTTACTGATGAGTTCATTTTTAAATTTGAAGCCTTACTGAGACTTTCAGAAGACTTGGAGCCGACCAGGAGAAACTTGTTAAAGGTTACTTCAAGTTTCTTTGACCCCCTTGGAGTACTCAGTCCAATACTGGTGGAAATGAAGATTTTGTTTCAGTCTCTTTGCCAGGAGAAGTTTGAATGGGATGCGCCACTCCCGGAGTCTGCCCGGAAGCAGTGGAACAGGTGGCTTCAGGACTTGAGAGAGGTGCAGCAAGTGTTAGTACCAAGGTGTGTGTATGCTGGATTAGAGGAAGGTGTTACGTCGTATGTTATTCATGGGTTTGGGGACGCTTCAGAAAAGGCTTATTGTGCTGTTGTTTACTTGGTTCTTGAAGTGAGTGGTGATTTTTTTCCAGTTTTGTTGTCATCCAAAACCAGAGTGGCACCGCTGACAAGGCAGTCTATCCCTAGACTCGAATTACTGTCTGGGGTCATCTTAGCAAGATTGGTGTCCTCAGTTAAAGAAGCCTTGGCGTCACAGATTACAATTGACAAGACACACTTGTGGTTAGACAGCAAGACTGCAATCTGCTGGATAAAGGGTTCGAAGGAGTGGAAGCAGTTTGTGCAAAATCGTGTGAATGAAATCTTGTCTTTGACCGAAGAGAGCATGTGGAACCATTGTCCTGGCATTGAGAACCCAGCGGACATAGGATCTCGTGGAGAAGGTGCGGCTAAGTTAAAGAGTAATGTGTTGTGGTGGAAGGGACCATCGTGGCTGTCGGAGCCCATGAGAAACTGGCCCAGTTCTGAGGAATGTTCAGAAACAATTGCTGAAGAGTGTTGCGTAGAGATGAAGAAAGGCCAAGCTATCGAAGCAGTTGGTGAAGCGGTATTGTTAACTACAAATGGAATACCCAATATGGACACTATTATTCCGATCACAGATTTTAGCTCCTGTAACAAGTTGTTTCGTATTACAGCTTTGGTGTTGCGCTTTGTGAAAAATTTGAAAATCAAGGCCAAGTTGCTAAAGGAAGGAACTGTTTACTTGGGAGAGGTTACTGCAGAAGAACTTGGAAATGCAGAAGTGAAGTGGTTAAGAAGTGTCCAGAAAGAATTGAAGTCCCAAGCAAATTACAGCCAGTTAGAGCGAGACTTTGGTTTGTACGAAGACAGTAGTGGAGTCCTAAGATGTAAGGGGAGAGTTGCTAATGCTGATGTACCACATGAGACGAAGTTCCCAGCCTTACTACCAAAGAATCATTATCTTTCAACTCTGTTGGTGAGAGATGCTCATGAAAGGGTGCATCACAATAGGGTAGAAGCTACGCTAGCCCAGCTGAGAACCAGATTTTGGATTGTCAAGGGACGACAGTTTGTTAAAAGAACACTGGCTAGCTGTACAGTTTGTCGCAGATATGAAGGGCAGAGTTACAGAGTGCCTCCTCAAAGTGACCTACCCGAGTTTAGATTGAGCCAGAAACCTGCCTTTACTTATGTCGGAGTAGATTATGCTGGACCTTTGTACATTAAGGTGTCAGGACAGTCTGCGTTACAGAAGGTCTATGTTCTCCTGTTTACTTGCTGTTCTGTGAGAGCAGTACATTTAGAGCTTGCTACGGACCTGTCGGTTGATGTATTCATCCGTTGCCTGAGGAGATTCGCAGCTAGAAGAGGTTTACCAGAACTGATTATCTCGGACAATGCCAAAACGTTTAAGGCTGCAGATAAAATTTTGAGCAAGTTATTTTCTTACCCAAGAGTCAAGAAATTCCTGGCCAGTAAAAGAATTGACTGGAGATTTAATGTGGACAGAGCGCCCTGGTGGGGTGGCTTTTTTGAGCGATTGATTCAGAATACAAAGAGATGTTTGCGGAAGACACTTAGGAACGCTAAGTTAAACTATGACGAATTGCACACTGTTCTCGTCGAGGTTGAGGGAACTCTCAACTCTAGACCCTTGACTTACGTATCGTCAGATGATCCTGAAGAACCATTGACACCAAGTCACTTGATGTATGGAAGACGAATATTATCACTGCCGGAGGTAACAGGAAATCGACAAGCCTCACTTGACCATACAGTGTCGTCGGAAGATCTCCCAAGAAGACGGAAGTACTTGGGATTGTTACTGGAACACTTCTGGAGGCGCTGGAGCAGAGAATATGTTACAGAGTTAAGGAACCTGCATCGGCAGAAATCCAGGCCTAGATCCAGTATTGCTGTATCTGAGGGAGATGTTGTTACCGTTTTCGAAGACAATCTGCCCCGTAGTCAGTGGAAACTTGGACGAGTGGAGCAGTTGATCCATGGTGCGGACGATCGCGTTAGAGCAGCTGTAGTCAAGGTTATCAGTAAGAGTGGTAGACCTGTTACTATGAAGAGGCCAGTGCAAAGGCTGTTTCCCCTGGAGATACCTATCGTGACTAATGATGAACAACCTCGGGAGGAGCAGATAATTGATGGCATCAGGCCACCCAGGCGTCTTGCCGCTCGGAATGCTGATTATATTCGGAGACTAGTTGACCAGTGATTCGACTGGTCAAGGGGGGAGTGTGTCACGGAGTTTTGTGTTACTTTTCGCGCGTGACATTTTTTGACCTTAGATGTAGCCGATCACGTTTCGAACACGTGATCATGTGACACTTTGAACGGAGTAGTTTTTCGATTTAGAGAATTGTAATTTTGTTGAAGGCACGTGTATCGGTTTAGAAGCCCGTTACCTTTGTGGAACCCGATCGTTTTTTGGCAAGTGTAATGGAATAGAAGTCCGTTACTGTAAGAGATCTATTGGTTTCGAATAAAATCTATCACACATTCCCTGGTGGGAGTATTGAGTTTGAGAAAGTAACGTCGATTTGTGCATTTAAAATTTGTAAAGTTGAATAACACTACATGACAAAGAAAACGTGATGTCTTTGTAGATGTATAATCAGAAGTACTAGACAAACGTATTTGCATATTTACCCTTTCGCTGTAGTGGGTCTGTCTGGCTATATTTACATGAAAAGGTCCAACAACCTTTCCTCCTTTTACAATGGATGGTGGTTGAATTGATTTCGAGGATAAAACAAGGATTGATGAACATTTCAAGTTTTGTAAAGTTGGATAGTACTGAAAGCCCAAAAAACAGCTGTCTATGTAGATACCATTACGCAGTAGACAAATTTACTGCATTCTCACCTTTTAACCATAGTATTACGGTTTGGCTTTATTTCCATGTCGCTGTCATGTGCATGTCGGAGAACAAACCTCGGGTAGTATTTTAGAAGCTTCTCCACAATCAACGTTTGATCTATTAAAGATCGTAAAGATGCTGTCCTTTTTATTGAATCTATGTCTCCAACTGCCAAACCAACCTACAAAACATGAAACAAAATTCAATAATTTCCATGGCGATAATGATAGTAATACGTACTTAAGTGAACTTCTATTGGGCTTCTTACAATACAAAATGTATGCACATTAGAGACAAGCTATCAAGCCCACTTCAAATCATGCACGGAGTACCGCAGGGCTCTATTCTTGGACGTTTTCTAACAAAGACTACAAACTAAAGTACCCTAGTCTCAGAACTCTTTGTACTTTAAAAATACTGTAACACTCCGTCTGCTTTCAAACCAAAAAGGCTGTTGGTTTCGTAATTCCAAGTAAGCAGATGTTATCCAGTTTTGACGTTTAACCAGATTTTTGTGAGTGCTGTTAAGATGTTTGCCCTGATATCATACAGAAATGGAAGCGTTGAAACTTGAAGATTTCGATGCAGATCAACGTTGTCTCAGCTCAGTTATATCACTTGTTGCGACCTCACACGAACTGGAAACTGTTTCATAAATTTAAAAAGGACAATTTGAAATCCGCGATTTGGATATTCGCCACTTGCCAGAAAACTGCCAAAATGGGATCAAGATTTATGCGATTCAAAAAAAAGATGGGGTGACGGGGACGTGACTAAAACTCGTCACAAGAAGGATTGTACTTAAACTTAAAACAAGAAAAAAACAAAGAAACGAACAAACAAATTGTTCATGCCGAATTCCAAATGTATTTTTTTTATTTATTTAGCGTTTCTATTTTTTTTCCATTGTCTGAACACTCGTCGGGTCACCCGTCATAACAACGCTACCCCATACTCGTTGACACCCGAACCGTATCCAGATTGTCACTTAAGAATATCATCGGTACAAAGAGTCTCGATTAGTGTTGCCCTTCTTGACAAAAGTAGTTTCGCTGTACCTACCAGCAGGTTGACCAGTACAACAGAGACTGTCAAGACAAAAAGGAAGAACAGTCCAATGGTGATCATAGGCAATGGTACCGTAGCTTCATTGGACCAGTCGACCACCAAAATATCAGTATAGTCTAGTTCGCCAATCATCATGACAAGGATTTTTCCCATGGCAAACAAAAAGGTGGAGAAATTACCCTGCAAGGTGACAAAAGAGATCGTTCGTCGTTAATAAGGTATATATACTTTGTCAGATATCACCTCTATTCTAGTATAAAGGGTCCAATGCCAAGTACGCTTTAGAGGCGGAGCTAGGAATGTTCCAGAGGTGCGCACATTTAACAGGTCAACCCCACCCAGTTTTTTCAGTTGACATTTGTTCAGCTTCGTACGTGCGAACAGCCGTACGGGTAGCGACGCCCTCGCAGTCAATACAACTGGTAGAAATCTGGCCTGCAGAGCGGGAGGTCTCGTCTCCGATCCCAATCGCTCTGGGTCTTGAAACAGCACGGAAGACGGCCCTTCACGTCGATCGGATGACTCGCTGAATAGGACAATTGCACGATGACGCCATTGTATTACAACTACCCGAATGCTTCAGTTTGTTGTTTTCTTGTGCAAAAAAGGCTTTCTTTTTTTACCCTCAGCGGGCTTGATCAATTTATAAGAGAGAAAAAAAAGAAATAGATTCTGGTAGTTCTAGTCATATGTCGTCTTCGTGAAAATGGCCTGCTCTCGATCTTATCTCCAGCAGGGGACGTTAAATTTGTCTTAACTGAATAATTCAATCGACGGTTATTTCCTTCGTCGGAACCAATGCATTTGAATGAGGTGGACCTAAATACATCTGCACGTGCCCTTAATGATAGTGAGACTAGTACCCAGTAGGGTTAAAGTAAACGAATGGCGCATGCCAGCTTAGTCAAGTTGGCTTATAACAAAGTGAAAAAAATTAAGAGGGTTAAAACAGATCATGTGAAATAGCCCCAGCACCAGAAAACAAGCATAAGTGCGCTATGCAAAACACGTGACATCTTCCACGAGTGTTCGAAGGGAGACAGATAGTCATTTGGCACCTCATGCAGTTACGGTATTAGGGAGCTTAAGCAAAGGCGATAGTCAATCGGAAGTGAGGCGTTTTCCCTGTTACCAGTATCTCTAGAGAAGGGGTCAACAGTTACTTTCGATCTTTCCAGTACAGTTCTTACCTGAGCCTTCAGTAACACGTAAAACACCAAGCAGTAACCAATTAAAGTGATGAGAAAGGAGGTTATTACTTTAATAAAAGTCCAGAGCACTTCAATGTACATTGTCACGTATAAACCAAGTTCGCCGAATCGACGGATAGCTAATGTCAAATTGACGTAGCATAGCAGCAGAGCAACAATCCCTGAATTCCACTGTACATCACTGTATACAGCTTTGACATTCTCACCAAATATGAATGGAAGGATAAAAATCAACGCCAATACAAACATTACCGTCTCCATCCAGTTTGAGAGGTCCAGGAAGTAGGCCAATCGCATCAAAGTAAGTTGAATCGTTTCCTTTATAAATTGGGAAAGCAGCAAAACAAGAAGTACGATAGGAGTTGCTATTCCTAGCTCTGATGTTTGATTTAGTTCTTCAGCCTTTTTCCCGGACAGCAATGTACTTCTAGATCTTGCGTTTAAAATGAAAATAGAGTAGAGAATGACAAAAACGGCGAAAAAAATAAGATTAAAAATAGTAACAAACTTTCCAAGTTTCATCCACTTCACACGAAGTAACACTTGTGTAACAAGATGATTCAACAGTCTTTCTCGCTTATGTTTGGCCATGATTGCAGGGGGAAAGTCAGTATATTTATAACAATATGTGTACGGATCAATGTATCTCATGTTGAACTTGACAGCAAAGTCCTCGTGCGATGGGGGCAAAGGACTGTAGGTGACACATTGATCAAGAACAATTTCTGCAACATCTGGGAGCTTTTCTATTAACTTCTTAAATGCAGAACCTTCGAGTACCTCCTCCCACCTAGAATGAGAAAATTTCATATTAGTTTTACCACTACTGAAACTTCTAATGAAAGTGTGGTCAATGCTATAAGTAATATATCAGGCATGAAGACTCGGTGTTTCATCTGTTGAGAGGAGAGTTGAAAATACAACGCGCAGCGGAGTATTTCTGACGAACTTTGAGGTGATTGATCTGGTGATGAAACACTGTGTCGAATAGTTGATATTACTTCTCAAACAAAATGATTTTAGAAGGATCAATCAAGGATGCAAAAATGACAAGTTTTTCATCTGATGTCCAAACACTCATTAAACATTAATTTCTTTTGTATTTGTCATTGTACGGGGCATGGGCTGTCAGCTTGAAAACAAGCATACTATGTAGTACCAAATCTTTTTTTCAATAAGATCTGATCACGATAGGCCGAAAATGGGGCAAAACCTGAAGACTAAAAGAAAATTGCAGAAGTAGACAAGAAGAATAAACCTGCATCATTCTAGCAACTTTTCCCTAATGGACTGAGTAAAACCAAAAACCCAGGTTATAATTTACTTATAAACTGGCGGCGTGATCTCATCCTACGTCCTTAACGAAACTTGGAGCTTTTATATATCTTTTCCAGATATGGCAAAAAAGTTTCTTTTTCTTGAAAACATGCGAAGTAGGCCATGAATCAAAGAGATGTCATCTTTGCTCTTTCCTTTTGGATTTAGCTTTAAAAAACGGGCCGTGGGGCGGCGGCGGGTGGTCAAGACAGTTAAAATTGATATGATTCTTTAAGCATTTACAGCAAGAAAGTTTGGTACTTTTCGTTTCAGCATCAATGAATGACTAAAGCTTGCAGATACTGAGAACCGCTTGGTGGCCGAACGCAGTCCCCTCGGTTTGATTATGGCTAATAAACATATATATGTTAAATGATTAGCTGAAATATTTTAGGAAAGTATCCTGTAAGTGCGTTTAACAGAGAATTATCCAATACAGTCAAACCTGTCTTTACGGACACCCGCTTAATACGAACACGAAGATTCTTGGTAGTACCTGCATATCCCGGGCGCGTAGTTCTGCGGCTGCGGTTTTTAAGGCTCGGAAACTCGGCATGGGATGTTTGGGGGTTAATTTTTGGTCCAGGGATATTTTGGGGTTTTGTTTGAAGCCCTACGGATTTTTTTGGGTTTTGATTTTCGCCCCCTTCGATCATCCCCGTCACTTGAAATCCGGAATACCCCCTTCCCCACTGGGGTTGGATATGAGAGATGTCTCTAACAGAGTTCTCTTAAAACGTACCTTTCATGTTTCACAAGTGTCTTTGCTACTTGCTCGGCTTCCCACTCGATCGCTACATCTATACAGGTCATATTTCTCTCATTTCTGGCTGTGACGTCAGCACCTCTGTCTAAAAGAAACTGCAGCACATCAAGGCGGTTGTATCTGCATGCCAGATGAAGAGGACTGTTTCCATCACTGTCCTTCTCTTCCAGTGTACTCGGCAAAAAGGGATTCATTAAAACAACTACTGTCTCTAAGGATCCCACCGTCACAGCCAAGTGAAGGGGCGTCACATTGTTCATGCATTTAGCTGAGACATCTGCACCCTTTGAAATCAGGAATTCACACGTCTTTCTGAAATCAAAATTTTCAACAGGAAAAACAGCATTAAAAAGATTAAAAATATGTTCATGAGCCAAGGCTTAAGGTACAGTTCGGCCGTTACTTCTTTCATAGGCAGGGATGGGGTATTGCTGGCTAAAAAATCAGTTTTGCTGGAATCTCTTGCCCAAAGGGAAAATATAAGAGAAAATGACAGTTTGTGGGTGAGATCCCAAGGGGGGAGGGGGAGAGACCAGTTACGTTATCCCTAAGGCGTCTTAGAAACGTCCGGGAAAACCTCCGGGGTTAAGTACGGGATTATATGAGTTTTTTTGTTTGAAAGCACCTTTGAATCAGAATTAACCAGTCTCCCTGACACCTGCCCTGAGACCTTCATGGGGAAACCAAACCATAACAAGCTCAAGAGCCAGAAGCCCATAGAATTTTTGTAACAAAAGATTATTTTGTTTCATTCGTTACAAATTCAAATAAGAAAAACAATGTTTGTAAACAGTATACACGCAGTCTCCTGCCGGATGTATGGATTTGCCAACTAGTTACAAATCACACCAAGTTAGGTTACACATGCTAACTCCAAAGTTCCCCCCTCCTCTGCGCTCAGTGTCTTCCCTGTACCCCAGAGAGCATAAGCAGGAAAAACGCAAATTATTGCAAAGATTTGGGGTATTTGTTTCTTCATAACTTACGCGTGTTTATTGTTGGCGGCGAAATGAAGAGCTGTCATTCCACGAGCTTCCCTTTGATCTACATAACTTGCAAATAATGGGTATTTGGCGAGCGTCACCACACAATCTAGTGAACCATTCTCAGCTGCGATGTGAATGGGTATCTTCTCCTGCATGTCACGCCCTCTTACATACACTTTATTTTCCAGAAGAATTGTCAACATCTTAAAAAAGAAAATACGAGACCGAGAAGTATACAATTAAAAAAAAACGCGTAAAAAAACCTGTTTTTGTTTTATTATTTTTGATGAGGTTCGTGCCCAATGCAAAATAAATACCGTAATCCTCTACCCTGGTGACTTATTTATTTCAAGCACGTTTTAGAGAGGGAGGGGGCTTAACAGAGAGGGAGGATTAGGCCATTTCCGATTTCCCCCTGGCCTCTGTTTCAAAACGAGGGTAGGTGCTCAGCCTTTGATATGGAAATCATTTTTCATTCTCGTGCAAATAAAACTCATTTTCACAAGAAGTTAGGGTTTTTGGAACTCGGAAGTGGCCTATTTAATTCAAGTGCCGCGTTACCAATAGCAAAAACAAGGGAGGAGAAACGCTTCGATAATAGTTACCTAACGGTTCCATACCTCATGTTCTGGACCAGGGCAATGACTGTAAATTATGGAGATTAATGTGTAATATTCTATGGTACAAGTAATTTTCAACATTTTTCTTCACTTGTGGCACCCTTAACCTTAGTTTCTAAAAGGTGAAATGATAACCTAAAGAAAACAGTTTTGCCTATTCTCTCGTCCAAATTAATATACCATAAATAAATTGATGACAAAGTTAACGAAACAATAACAGAAGAATACCTCAGAATTGTCCTGTCCACAGGCAAGGTGAAGCACATTCCTCTTGTCTTTGTCCTTCATTTCAACTAAAACTCGATCTTTGTCCACTTCTATCAATAATTTCAACATTTCAGGTTTTTTGTACGTAATAGCCAAATGAACAGCACTATTTAATGAAGAGTCAGTTGCAAAAATGTCCGCTCCATGGTCTACCAACATCTTGGCAGATTCCACGGCTCCACGCGTCACAGCCATTAGAAAAGGTGTCATCTCCAAAATGTCCTTCGCTTCTAAATCAGCTCCGCACTCGATCAAAAACTTTACTATTTGACTGTGATTAAACTCTGCTGCGCTAGAAATGAAATAAGAGTTAAAAGCCTGCTGTTGGACGCCTGTGTGTTATCCACTGATAAAAAAAAATTCTTATTCGAGTAAATTTGCATCTAAAAATTTGAATATGGTTATTGTAAAAATGATACCCGTTAGCTACGTAACCCCAAAAGTATGGAAATATGGTTTTCCATATAAGCCTATATATTCAGCCAAGAAAACTTTGGTAGTAAGCTCAGGCGTCCGCCCATCCATCCGCATCACAGGAAGGCCAATGTAGCTAGTGTGGGCGCCTGTGCGTAGGAAGCAGGCGATGGGAGTCCAGGGTGTAAATATAAGACTCTTAACTCGATGCAAGATTTTGCACGTTCCAGGTCTACTTGTGGATATTTTTTCCCAAACTCACCGAGCTCTTCTTACAAAAGGGAAATGGTGCATCTTAAAGGGGCTGTGTCACGGCAGCCCACTTCATTTTGTTTAATTTTGCCAATCACTCGCCCTCAATCGCTATGGAACTTAAAGTAAGCAAAGAAATTACATGTAAATGACAAAATCAGAGATCCCAGACAAACAAATATGTCTCCTGAGCATTATTTTTGAAGTTGCAAGCAGCAGGGATCAACGTTGAAAAACTGCTAGGCTGAACAGTTTTCAAAAACCCTCATTTCAATCCGTTTTAATCTTCTACAGTTTTGACCATCTGTGGCATCTGTTGTTTCTGTTATGTTATTTTAACCTTCTTTTAAAGTTTTAAGTGATTATTTTTATGTTCTCTTAATTTAACGGGCACTTTGTAACTTCCTAATTTGGCTGAATTTCGTGTAAAATTTAAGTATGGATTTCTTTGCAATGTCTTTAAGTTAATTGTTTGAAATTTATTGAGTGTCTTTATGGGAGCTTCGCTTTGATCAATGTCTAATCTACATATTGAATCAATTTAATGATAAAATAATAATAATAATAGAAATAATAGAAATAATAAAGTTAGTAATACAATGGTTGGACATTCTTCCATACGTTTACATAAGCATTACTCCTATCAAAAGACGCTTTTCTTAACTACTTTTGAGAATAATTTAAAACTCTCATTTCCGCAATAACACTGAAAATAAATCCCAACCCACTATACCTATGTAGCGGTGTCCTTAGATTGCCATCTCTGTTGTCAGTAACTGCATTATACAGTATAAGTAGCTCTACCATTGACAAGTGGCCGTGTTTTGCCGCCAAATGGAGCGGTGAAGCAGATGCTGTAAAATTAACAGCGTTACGATCCGCGCCGTGTCGTAGTAAAAGTTCTCCCACTCCCAGGTGGCCTCCGATGCAGGCGTAGTGAAGAGGAGTGTTGCCTTCTGCGTTTTTTGAATTCACAAATCCACCAAGGTCTTGCAGCTTTTTGGATGCTGTTTGAACAAAAAAATTTAAGGCGCTTGGTTTCATGTCATCATTATCAAAAGCTAAGAAATTAACATGATAAGTGGATATATGTATCGACCTTTTTCACAGAGACCAAAATGCGCCTGGCTTACTTCCCCTCCCCTAACCACCACAACCAATTTTGCATATGAAATATTGTCTGGGATTTCTCTTAGGAAGTCGACATACCTTGCAACGGTGGTTACGTAAAATTTTGGGGGGTAAACATGGTTCATTATGGTCTCGGTGAAAATGATCAATGAACAGAAAAAGGAAGTGCGAAAAGTGCTGTAAATTTAAGCCTGAAAATGGAAAAATGGCAATTAAATTAACAGTTTCCTAAGGATGGGGCCCGCTTGATTGTTGGGCAAATATAAGCACAAATATATCATATTTCCCATTTATTCACCGGAGCTCAGTTGTTCGAAGGAGGATTAGCACCAACTCAAAAGCGTTTTTTTCTCGGATAATTTTTAGGCTATTTCAGTCTAGAGCAGCCAATCATAAGTCATACTCATTAAAACTTTTAACTGACCAAAAATTTCACTATCCCCAGGTTATTCTTAACCCATCTTTTTAACCGTTACTAATTTTCATTTTTTCATAGGTTATATTACCTGTTTCAATGAATAGTTCACACACGTCTTCATGTCCCTGAAAAGCTGCAATTTGCAGAGGAGTGCTTCCCCCAAATACCGTGCGGGTGAAATCGGCTCCATACCTTAAAAGCAACTCACAAACTTTTCGCCTTCCCTCATAACAGGCTAGAAGCAAGGGCTTTAAATTTCCTTGGTTTAGGTAATTTTTCACCCTTTGGTCTTCAAGAAGAAGAACGCATATCTCCACGAGGCTGGTACGTACAGCTGAATCCAGTGGTGACGTTTGAATTTCGGTCGCTATAAGTGGGTCCGCTCCCCTTTCAAGCAGAAGCTTGATCATCTCTGTTCTTTCGAACCTTAAATAAATCAAATATTTGCGAAAGTTACGATGAGAATCAAATGAAATTTCTGAATATTTTCCCCACCTAGTCTGTAACAGCAGTAGGCAGCAAAAATATAAATCAAACTGAAGAGTGCGAAAAAGTAGACAAGGCACACTGCAAAGGCTGGTGTTTCTGTTTATATTTGGCTAAAAACAGTTTCAATTTTTGAGTCCAATGCTCGTTTCGGTAGTTCTTAAAGGAGTTGTGTCACGTTTTTGGGATATTTTTAAAATTCTAAAAAAATTGGAACCAAGGAAGACAGTGTATTTTTTTTTTTGACCAGGATAAAAACGGATTCCAAAAATAGGGCCATTCTGAAACAAAACCCATTCCTGATGGAAAGACAAAGTTATTCACATGAACAGCCCTTAGTTTGGAGACACAGTTTTACTCCCACGTAACTAAGAGGAGAGCAGAAAGGCACAAACGCAGAGAGCGACAACGATGAAATAAGTATCTAGGTGATTGCCAAGGGGGCATCTAGGAAGTCACGCAGAACTCACAGTTTTGCTAAGCCAACCTACCCGCGGCGTTTCCTTAATCGTTTACCTTGCGAGGGATTTTAAAAAATTTTCTTCTTTATCGGTCGGGTGAGGTCAATCAATTATCTTTCTTTGTCGAAGGGCAGTATGAAAAAGTGAAGGAAAACACTTTTTCTTAAAGCAGTTAAAGGGGAGATAGATAAGAGAATGTTTCTTTTTTCAGTTGTTCTTGCTCCCCCTTTTTATTTTAATTATTTATTTATTTTTATCAATCTCCATCTTTTAAGTACGCACATAAGCACTATGCGCCTTAGTATGCTAGATGACAAGGGTACAACCCAGCTCGTACATATATATGAAATGTATTTGTTCTATTATTTGCTCCATACATTAATTAATTAATCGCAGATACCTTACAGCAGTATGAATTGGCGTGAAACCATCTTTGTCCTTCAAGTTAACATCCGCCCCATAATCCAGCATATTTTTGACATCCTGGATATTATTAACACGAACAGCTCGATGAAGAGCAGATAGTCCATCGCGGTCAATCGTGTTTAAATTCTCCGCCATTTCTTCTAAGGCACCATTTGCAAAGTAAAGGGGTAAGCCAGATTTGACTGGTTCAAAGGCTTGAACATCGCGGCTATCAATTGGATGAATAGGTTTCCGACTTGATTTGGTGCTTCCTGGGTTCGAAATGAGTTCGAGCGAGTCACCGTAAATCAATGGCCGCACTTTCGACAGAGAGGTATTGCTATGTTGTGTACCCCCAGAGGAGGGTTTGGGACTACCTGATGAATGAAAAAACATGGCAAAGACGTTATAGGGTGTACGTGTATGTACTTTTACGTGAACGATGGAAGTTGCAAGACCTGAATCTTCAGTTGCCATTGATCCGCTTCAGTGAACCTCCGATGATCATTAATGTCCAAAACGGTCCCCCTCTAGTATAAACCACCGGTTTTTCTTAATATATTATAAACTATACACGTATATATAATTTTTTGTGTGTGTACTTTCATTCGAAACATATACATTTTTGCATTACAATTTTTACAATGTAAACACTTTAAGAGACACTCAAGGAAGATGAAGCAAGGCCCCTGTCTACTTAGGAATACTAGATGATACATCCCTGACTGACAATAGTTTACCATTTTTCTTACGTAAGTGCCATATCATAAACATAAAAGTATTCCTCATCACTGCGTTCATAACATGTCATTTTTGGACAATATAAAGTATAAACGAGACATTGATATTTTTGTGGACTATTTTGAATGAGTATGCCAATGGAAGTACTTCTGGACTAAAAGAACTAATCATATTCTACTAATATTGTGTATACATATTTTTTTCCTTCTCCGTGACTGAATAATCAAAACATTCTATATCAAATTTTGCCCAAATCATTAATCGTGGAGCTGGTTTCATAAATTATAAAATTGTCTTTCAAGTTTGAATATAAAAAGAAAATTTAATATTAACAATACCGTGTAAAACGTTGGTCATTTGGCCTTGTTTATTGTCCAAACTGGTAGAAAACTAAACTACAAATTGCCGTTTGTAAGGAATCCGGATTCCGGATTCCCGATTATCCGGAAAACTTTTTCTTGGGGAACCGGAATCCGACTAACGATTGGAATCCCAAATTCCACTTACAAACACTGGAATCCAGTACTTGGAATCCGGAATCCACGGCGTGGAATCCAGAATCCAAGACTGTCTTGGATTCCCTTACATGGGGAAAAAAAAGAACAGCTAAAAACGCAACTGCGGCCAGATGCATTGCTTGTTTTATGCCTTTCCTGCTACGACACTGTCGTCTAAAGCCGGAGCTGTCTAAAGTAAATGCATATATTGATCCAACACTCAGAAATCCAGACTATTAACAGAATAGTGTGACTGGTTTACTTTAACAAATCGTGATTAACAGTCTGTGCAGTCTGTGTGTAAGCACGTTCTGTTTCCAAATAGACGTCTCCACAAAGGCTTTCTTGACACCATAACCCGCCTGCCCCTTCCCCTCACCCCAAAACCTCTGCGAATTATAGAGAAATGACTTATATTGTGCGGAAATTACAAATGATGTGATAAGTACACGAGTCACTAAGAAACTGGCTTATTTTTTCGCACCTAAGTAAGGGTCAAATCTACAACATTTAGGAATACTTGCCATAAAAAATTGATGTCCTTATTGTATTGTTTTGACTGTTGATCGACCTTCTTAGGCTATGTTTGTTGCTATTTTGACTTTTCTTTTCAGTAGCGTTCAGTCGTTAAGGTGACATGCAGAGTAATTATCCCTAGTATGATTAAGTAATTACGTCATGTGGCTTAACAGTCAGAGTATATTTATTGAATGGGTAGAAATATCAAACATCAAATAACCAGGGCTCAAGAAAGATGATTGGAATGTATCGTGAAATAAACATGTTCATTTTACTTCAATTAAGAAATCACCTTTAAACTTCATCCCTACGGAAAAAAATCAAAGTATTGAATCTTTGAATTAGTATTAATATTGTCGCATCTTTCAACTTTGAAAAGCAATCAGCGATCATCCCATATGACTGGTACGTGAGCGTCCACGACTGCTAGTTTAATCTGAAGGGCAGAAATTTGGTGTGCTCGGAGTTCAAGACAGTTGTTTTAGGCAGTTTTAGTCTTGGACTATCGGTATATTTCATCACGATTCAGTCGCCGTCAAGTCAATCGAGTGACTGAACTGGCCACTCGGACGTATAAAGTTCGAATCATCGATCATTTAAATACGTACGATTAACCTACGTAAAATGACAAACCTTTGCCATTCTTGTCAACAACAGAGCGATATGTGGACATCAAGCTGCTCATGGCGTCTCAACCTAACACGAGTTCAGTATTCATCATTCTACACCGGATCACACTTACGCTAATTTTGCGTGACATGACAAATTCCAGTCTCTTTCATATAATTATTTAGCCGATCACGTGTATTATAGTTAAAAATATAAACAGAGCAATAATAAATAGATCAATGAAAAAACGATTAATAAACCATTAAAGAACCGACTTCTTGTCATTTAAAAAATAATAATAATGGCATTCGCAGTTATAACCTATAATTTTATGCAGGATAACACAATATTTTCAAGCGCCAAAATCAAGCCTGTCATGGTCGAATATCTGCATGACATCAAGGTTTTAAAGTTGTGAAAGTAAAGGAAGTAAGAGAGGTTAGGGGAGTTACTGGGGCCTTCAATTCTGAGCTGACGTCACCGCTTGGTGCTTTTACACATTCACAAAATGCTTCCATAGAGTTATGAAGAAAATGTAATATAACCTTTTTTAGTGCTTTTTCAGGCATAGCCATCAAACTTGAATATTCAAGTTTGCCCAATTTTTTCAAGTTTCAATCCGTGTCCATCATTGTCCTCCTTAGCAACAGACGAGGAAACAGGGAGACATAACGACTGTGTTCTGTAAAACATCTGTTCGGAGAAGTGAATATTGCCTAGAATTATCTGTTACCTTAAATATGGCTAAAAATTTCTAGATGAGCGTTCTATTCAGGTACAATTTTCGAGGCTTATCTAAAAAATTCCCTACGATTTCTAAAGCTTAATTTTTCGCATTTTTCCCCCCATGTTAGGCTAATTTTTGTAGAAAAATGAAACCTAAAATTTTCGGATTCAAAAATGTGATAAAGAGAGGAATAAGAGAAACTCACACCTTCGTAAAACGTTCAATTGCATCTAAAATTTTCGGGCAAATAACACTGCAGCCCTTGTCATTTCGTAAAGCCTCAAATTCCCTCGGATGACCTAGCAGATACATATTTTATAGCCCGCTTAGAATGCATTTCTAGAGATCTAAGCTTCAAAAGACTTTTCAATGCATTAAGGAGGAAACTGTCGTTGGGTCCCCCGAGGAAACTGTTTAGTTAATAGCTAAATAGTTTCGTAAATAACAAACCCTGAAAACTGGCTCATTGGTTTTGAAATATATTGATTCGAGGAAACTTTTCAGCTTTTTTTTAAATAAGAAAGCTAACAAATTGCGTGACGTAGCTCCTTCATTCTAATCACGTTTCCCAGATTGGTTATACTTGGGTTGCATGTTTTGTTCCACAGCTTTGACTGAGATGAAGCATACAATATTTGGATTAAGTTTATTAATTACCTTTTTTATTTGCCCTTCGTAGAGTTTTATTAATAGACTTTTCGACAGGTGACAGGTGATAAAATACATTCAGTTTCTTATGTCAAGCCTGTATCCTCATTAAAAATCGGTTAATATGCAGGAATTATAACTTACCTGAGGCGCAACTGTAACACACACGACTCAACTTCGTTTTTTCAGTTTATTTATTTCGGAATTGATAACTCAACAATATATTAGCTGTTCCAAGTTTTCTCAATTTGCGTAGTAGCCTTGTTGAAAATCTCTTTGCTATATTCAAGGAAAGTGTTCGCTCCCATTGCCCCTCCCTCGTACTCCGATGCTAGTCGTTTTCAGCGAACTTTCTCTATTTATGTAAGCTCTGAAAACCAATTTTTTTTAATTTCATTTCAAAACCTGGAACAATTTGCCTTTTTTATATATATATATCACATATTTAGTGTAGAGATACGAAAATAAATATACTTAAATATAACATACAAGCGCCAGTTTCAAACAGCATTTAAAAGACACTTTCGCCCCATGCAAGGTACTCCGCATTCAATGCCGTGGATTGCAGTCTACGTCAATGGAACTTGGATTCCGGATTCCTTGAGCTTTATTCCAAATTCCAAAGTCCAAGATTCCGAATTCCAGAAGCAAAACTTTCGCAGATTCTAGATTTCACAGGCGAAATATTTTCAGGATTCAGGAATCTGGATTCCTTTGTATGGGGCGAAATCCTTAGTGCTTATAATTCTCTTGTTCTTTGTCTTTTAAAAAATATATATTGCCTCTTTGTTAAACGGATATGACATCTTTCGTTAACCAGCACAGCAGAATTCTTGTCGTTTCCCTTTCAACATATCGCTTAAGTAGTGAAGTCAGGTACTGAATTTTAAAGGGGTATGCACGTCACCTTTGATGATCACTGATTCACTTGAGGTTCACCACATCTCTTAATGATTATAACAATGATAAGACAACGAGAATTTTGATGATGCCGCAGTATCAATACACAAATCTGTACACTATCTTACCGACACTGAAAATAGAAACCGTTTTAATTTCGATATTCCAATTTGGGAATCCATCTGTACAACGCCGCGAATGATCCCTAGAGTGCAAATGATTCTCGACCCCAAATGAACCAAGTTCCCTGAGTTTCCTCCAACTCGGCCCTGGTAGGAGAGAACCCCAGGGGCCAATTTAAAAAACCTTTCACAAATGCAATTTACAAGTGTAGCTATTGTCTTCAGACTCTAAAACAATGGCTACACTTGTAGATTACACACGTAAAAGTTTTATAAAATTGACCCAGGAATGAGGTTACGAACGCCAGTGATCTGGAATATCAACTAGTAGGGGAGCTCAAGTCCCAAAGTATTTTTGTAATATATTTACAGATTTAGATAAAATTGAAGTTGAAGTTGATATCGTGAACTGCGAGAATGAGGAATGGTTTGTGAAAGGATAAGGTATAAGAGCTAGAAACAGAGCCTCCCTATTTACAGAACATTGTCGAGTGCGCTCCCCCGCCCCACCAATTATGACTCCACTTTATTTTCCGATGTCCAATTTATCAGCTATTGCTCTAAGCAATTCATTTTGAGCATCGACTGCAGCCTGTAAATCCTTGATGCTTTCCTCTTGTCTTTCTAATCGTTGTTGGAAGTCATTAGTCTCTTTCTCCTTGTCTCCCGAGTCGGACTGTTGCTTTCGCAGCGTGTTCATGAAGTCACTATCAACGAGACCAGACCCTGAAAGGGCTAAGCTGAAGGAAAAACAAAATTGATGAAAAGCGTCAGAATTATATAGGAGGACTGGTATACCCCAGTCTACCGGATTGTGTATTGTTAAGAGAAAGAAAAGACATGCCCAAGCTATACAAACTTTTCCTTTAGCATGCAGACTTACCCATAAATCAGAAGATGAAAATTAGTTTTATCAGTTAGTATTGAGGTTAATTAGCCATAGTAAAGATACTCAAAAGCAGAATCCTATAAAGAAAAGAGCTGGATTTCGATTTTTACCGTGACCAATTTGCCGTATAAACCTACGTAACTGATAAAACTAATCTTCGCAGACAGGTAACTACGCTCGTTAAGTTATACAACAGGAATAAAAGCGGGCTTGAGCAAATATTAAAAACAAAACATAAGAGCGGGAATCCTGATTAGTAGGGGGGATGGGGGCGGGGCAACCAGTTGGCTATTCACAATCAAGGGCGACGAATTTAAAATCTGAAAAGAGAGCTCAAGCAACAACAACGGCGAAATTTAAAATCTGAAATATTAATACCCCAACTAGAAGAGAGCTCAAGCAACAACAACGGCGACGACAGCGAAAACGTCACTTAAAAAGAGCATTGGCGTTGTCTCAAACTTCTTAGCTCTTATTCTATCTCGTTCAATTTGTCCAAAATGTTGGCAATTTTCTGGGGGTAAATTCTAAAGATCTGTAGCTAAGTTGGACAAAGAGAAATGTTATCTTGTGTTCACATCGTCCGTAAAACGTGAATTTGTAAAGTTTCGCGTCGTAGTCGTGCAACGACGGTAAAGAAATTTACAGTCAAAATCACGTGATACACTTTGTTTTACTAATTTAACCCAACAGATTTTTTGCTTGTTTTTGTTTTTGTTTTTTGTTTTGTTGTTGTTGTTGTTGTTTGTCGTTCTCGTTACCGTCGCCATCTCTCTGGTGGTCATTGGAGGTGGTAAGCCCGAGACGTACAGGTTACACTCTTGATCGTTTTCTTGTGGAACTTGCAGCATCTTGATATATCACAAACAGTCAAAAACCTAACTAATCATTATGCATGCTTAGCAAGTTGAACAGTCAGTGGAATAGAACTGGTAGAATGAAATACGTACAGATGTTAGTTTGAGTTCGATATTTATCTTTGTAACAGTGACCTTACCCGGAACTTCTTTGACACGCACATTTTTGGAACATGGGTACGTTCCCAGTAGTTAGGGCACAAAATTACGCCAAGATTACAAGATCAGTGAATTTAACAAACAGTTCTAGATCCAAGTGACTAACCTTACGTCACGTGACAAAAAAACATGGCATAGATCCGCAGTACATGTAGTACGCAATCAGTAGATACAATCACCAATTGTTATGTTCCTACACTTTCACTCAACTAAACAGGGATTGCAATTGGTTGATTCTTGGTCACGTGGCCTTGACTAAATCAAATGTATCCCGATCGTGATACATTAAGCAATTACCCCGCTCAGGCTACATTACAGCACGTGATCAAAGCATGGTGGAAAGTGGCGTGACAAAAGAAGGGAATAACACTGCCAGGTCCTGCCAGTTTTCTTTTTGGTGAATGAACACAACAACACAAAACCTCAAGCTAAAACGCAACGATTTTTAAAGTTATCCAAGAAGTTACCTGAAGAAAATCAGCAGCTAGTGGAGGAAAATGATGCAGATAATATAAGGAAGGTACTTTGTTAATCATTCATCCAGTGGTTTAGAGAATTAAATTTGTGTTGTTATAAGTACCGAGTCGACTGTTTTGGTTCGCTCCGGTTATTCTTTTGTTACTGTTGAAGTGAAAGTCTAGAAATATAACAAATCACTTAATGTCATCGGGAATCCAGTTAGTTTTGTTTTCCCTCGAGTCCTCTTGTTTCCCTCGACTTCGTCTCTGGAAACATCAGGACTCTCGGGAAAACAAAACTAACTGTTTCCCTTGGGATCTGACATTAAGTGTATATCATCACTCGAAAGGCTCTCTATTACGATTCATATACTGTCGTCTTTTTGCCCAAGAAAAACTAACTTACCTGTGTAACAACTGATTCTGGTTTGGTTTTATTTCCAGGGAAGTTTTATAAGCACGTCTCAGGACCCATTTGGGATATCTTCTCTGTATGCTATCTACTAACGAAGCTTGGTCCATCAAGTTTCGTAGAGTCGCTGTCTTTTGAATCGAGTCAATATCTCCAACCGCCAGACCAACCTAGGCAAAACAAGAAATAAGTTTCTCATTGCATGTTGGCTTGGTTTCTATTGTTCCTGAAAAATTCTTCTTACCAATTACACAATCTGCAAGTATAATTCTTTATTAGAAAATTTAATTCTATTAGAAACTAGAAGTTTCAGTTACAAATAATAGCGACCTTTACCTTCATTAAATAACAACCACTTCTGAAGAGTGGAATATGTAGGATACTGTGGGATAGGAGGCGATGCCTATTTCCCTTTCGTAAACGGTCTCTGCCATTTTTAGCTTTAAGACTTTAGTCATAAGAGATGCAATATATTCCCTGAATTTGGTTACAAAAAGGCAAAAAATGCGTTTTCGAATAGTGTCAGAAAGAACGACGTTAGAGCCCAAGTTGAATTTTCGTTAAAATTTTCGAAAGGGACGGGGTCACCTGTTATTGGTGTAACACTTAAGAAGGACAGTTTGCTAGTGTATGTACTTAAATTTTTTGGAATTTTGGCGGGTCGGTATGGTAGTGTAGTGGTAAGGGAGAGAGATTAGGATACGAGGAGTCCAGGTTAGAGGCCTGGTTTGACCCTACGTCGCGATTTTCTTTCGATTTTTTCTTAGTTACAAAAAGGCAAAAAATACGTTTTCGAATAGTGTCAGAAAGAACGACGTTGGAGCCCAAGTTGAATTTTCGTTATAATTTACGAAAGGGCTAGGGTCACCTGTTGTTGATGTAACACTTAGGAAGGACAGTTTGCTAGTGTATTTACTTTTAAATTTTTCGGAAATTTGGCGGGTCGGTGGGGCAGTGTAGTGATAAGGGAGAGAGATTAGGATACGAAGGGTCCGGGTTCGAGGCCTGGTTTGACCCTAGGTCGCGATTTTCTTTCTTTTTCATAGAAACACTCTCAATAACAGGTCAAAATTTGCTAAGACCCTGTTTACATGGAGTGGGGGACCCGGTCTAGCGGGGTGGTTTCTTTTGCTTCCACGCTCTCCCGGACACAAAACAAAAGAAACCTACCCCACTAGACCGGGGTCCCCCACTCCACGTAAACAGGGTCAAAGTGTTGTAAAAATGGCAGGGACAACTGCGGAGGCGATATAGGACGTTTTCACTCACGTGGTCAGTAGCTTTGCAAATTAATCAAAACAAACGAAAGTTGTTACATGAGAGAAAGGTTTAACTCCCACAAGAACACCAACATGACTGCCGTTTCACTGTTTTTGAACACTAATATGGCGGACGTGACGACATGTGAAAACGCTTTAAAAGATGTGGTGTCATTAGAGAGCTGTAGATTCTGAGCCGAGTACGAGATTTTCTCAATACTAAATAGTGCTTGTGCGTGAACCAGCGTCATTTTGAAAGGAAAATATGATTGCTGTCGTCATTCCACTGCGAGTTTTAGCGAATATGTAGTGGTAACGGAAACAAGTTTTAAAGTGTTGGAGATTTTATCATTTTGTGGCCGGGAGATGGCTTACGCTCCTTCAGTAAAGATAACAGTGCTAATTTTTTTGGTGAAAAATAAGTGCAATGAAGCTTTCCGGGGTGTCTATAATAATTGGAGAATACTCGAAAAAACTTTAAGTCAAATCCCGTGCTCGTAGTCGTTCTCGTCCTAGAATCTGAAGGTCTCTATTGGATAGGATGAGATGACAAACGAGATCAAATTGAATAAAATGGAACAGAAAGGGTTGGAAGGTCGTGTGGTGTAGGAAGCATTGGAGGGAACACGTGCTAATAGGATAAGGTGGCTAGAAGGGTGATACTGTGACAAGAGCAAATAATCTTCATGAAAAGTAAGTAATTAAAAGCTACAATTATAGACAGAAGTCTTTACATTTGTGGGGCTTTTTTTCAATTGACAGATGCCCAACCCCTTGCCCCACCCCATTAACAACGTTGGACGCGTGTATCCAGAATTGTTTTTTACGAGTTTCAAAATTGTATAGGGTGGGGGGAGGGAGACCTGCCAGGAAGTTTCGAAAAGGATGTACTGTATTATAAAGGCAACCAGAAATTACAGAAAATAATGAATACTGCGTCACTGTCCCAAGGACTTTTTCCCGGGATAGTCGAATAACCCCCTTAATGAAAAAAAAAAAACAATTCCATCAGTGTATCTCGTTCCATTGACACAAACGTCACTTACCAGTAGATTCATAAGGACAATGGACACTGCCAGCACAAACAGCACAAACATGACATAAGACAGCTCAGGAAGAGGTACATACAGGAAATTAGTTCCCGGGACCTTGACATCGCCCACCACGTTACTAGTCAATACATCGGAGTAGTCCATTTCTCCAAGCATCATAACGATAATTTTAACGAAGGAAAACCAGAATGTTGTGAAGTTTTCCTGTAAAAAAGAAAACAAGAAAATTTCAAATTACCAATGCTATTAATCAGTTTATACTACTACATGAGAAATTTCTGCAATTTGATTGGCTTAGAGCAGTGTTATTTCAGCTTAATTTGAAATACCTACATGTGAAAATTACAAACCTTTTGCATGTAGTAGTATAAACGAATAATAGCATGATTTGTACGTGATATTTGGCATAAATACCACTAGTGATATTTCAAAGTTGTCTCAAATTTCACTCGCCTTACGGCTCGTGAAATTACGTATAAAAATTTAGAAATATCACTACAAATCATGCTATTACCTATACTAAAACTGTTGTTAGCCATACACGTTACCTGACACATTTAATTAAAGTGCAACCAAAAAATAGCAATGATTATGTTCACTCTGTTATACCAACACTACCACATAAAAGCACGAGGCCCGAGTAAGCGGACTTTACAGATTAAAAAAATCATATAACAATCAGTTTATTGGACTGTTACTGTGCCGGTCAAGCATCCGCAAGATAACAGTCACTAAGTCATGAAATGCGTTCCATGAAGCTACACGACTAGACATGTCTTGGGGCAATAAAATTATTATCTAAATCAAAAAAATCCAACTAGCAGAAAGTAGTGCAAAAAATTTCAGATACACCCAATCTGAACCAAAATCGGTGCGGAAAATGAATACAAGCTCAACACTGAACCTCCATTTTTATTTGCTTCTCTGTGGCAATCAATCCTTAAACAGTCAGTGTCATCTTTTCAAGAAAAAAAATTAAACAACTTTCATACCCGAGAATTTGCAATAAGTCAGTTAAAGGGTTGTGCTTTGACATCGTAGCAAAGATATTTGATACAACCAGGCGCCTCAGTTTACATTTTGGGATCTTTGGAAGCATTGATAGAATCATTAACCAATAGTGTTAACGTTTGTGTTGTATGCAACTTCTAGTTTGTAGAGCTTAACTCTTGGGGCGCTTCATAGGCTGATACTAAGATTAAAAAACAGAACAGTCCAGTTGTATCCCAGGGTAAGGGAAAATTTCGGTTTGATCAGTTTGCAGAAAGAAAGGGGGAAAAGACACATTCAAACCTCGCTCACCTCCTCTTTTAGTAGAACGTGAAAAACCAATGCAAAGCCAATAAGGACTGCAACGAAGATGGCGATTACCTTAAGAAATGTTACCAACACTTCAACATACATGGTCACGTAGATTGCCACTGAACTCAAGCGACGAAGACTCAGACAAAAATTCACATAACATAAGAGAAGAGCAAGTACTCCAGCGGTCCAGTGTACTCGAACGTCCCCAAAAAGATCTTCTGTTGTCACGTAAGGCAATATGAAAATCATTGTGGTTATGTAAAGACACGAGTCCAGAACGTTCGTGTAATCTGTAAAGTACTCTAGTTGTTGCAAAAACATCTGAATTATCTCAATCAGAATTCTGACTATTAAAAAAGTAAAAATCACAGCCGGGATTCCTTTGGAGTCGCCACTGATCACATTTGTTGTAGCATTTATGTCACTCCCGGACAAATCCCTCACTTTGCTCCTCTGGTCAACAATGAAGAAAGAAAACAGGACGAGAAATATAAAGAAGATGGTGAAATTAAAGTAGTAGAGAAACTTTCCCAGAACAGCCCATTTCCATCGAAGAAGCACCTGTGTGACACTGTGATTCAAAAGGCTTTCTCTCCGGTAGTTCGCCATGGTAGCAGGAGCGAAAAAGTGGTGGCTACTTGATGATAAAGAAGTGGGTGGGTCGAGCGGGGCGAAAGTGAAGGTGACCGTAAAGTCAGTGTGCTCTGTGGGAAGGGTGGAGTAGCTGATGCACTGATCCAAGACTACTTCTGCGACTTCTGGAAGCTTCATTATCAGCTTTTCCATTGGAGGAATTTTAGATGTGTGACCAAAAAGCACTTCTCTCCACCTACAGTAAAAAAATGATAATATTTTAGCTGTTACAGATAGAAGGTGTTGGGATGTGATAATGATAACGGTAACGATAACCCGTCCAAAAGGGATTATATTGATAACAATAACGATAACGACAACGATTATGATAATGACAATGACAATAGTAATGATAATGATAAGGTTTATATTAAGCAGGCTTCATGCATGGATTTTGGTCAGTCCAAAACCATTAAAAATCAGGTTTTGCAGAACACAATAAAATTAATCGAAGAGCTCATCTTACAGGAGGATTTTTGCTATTAGTAAAATCCAACCAGTGGTGTATTATCAATGCTGCATTTTGATTGGTTGAGCTACTACTAGGCTATATGTTATAGCCCACTAGTAGCGAAAAGAACAGGCAATTTGGCGGGAAAAATAATTTAAGTCTAGCTTTAACTAGCTAAAGTTGTTTTGTCTCGATATTTTTGACAAACTAGTTGGATTTTACTAAAACAATTATTCCTCTCGCCCTCATGGCCTCTGAGTCAACAGCCCATTCGGCCGAACTCAGAACCCGTTCGGGCTCGAGGAATAATTGTTAATTAGCCTGCAGAACAAGCGCCATGTTTTTCGCGTGGTTTTTCAAACAGAGGGGGAGGAACTTCGTGCTTGCCTGAAAACGGCAAAAAAACTCGCGCGTTCTTATGGCTATTTACGAGAATAACCGAGGATTTGAAATCGGAAAGACCGAAAAACAATTCCAGTTACTATTCCGAGCGGGATTCGAACCCAGGTCACACGTTACGCATCCTCACATTCACATTTACCTCTTGTGTTTAACAAGCGTCCTTGCAACTTCCACAGAGTCCCACTCGATTGCCATATCCAAACACGTCATATTATCTTTGTTAAGCGCCGTAACATCAGCACCTTTGTCTAACAAGAAATTGAGTATATTGAGGCAATTTTGCATGCAAGCTAAGTGAAGTGGGGTGTTTTGGTCCGCGTCCGTTACTTCTAACGTATTAAACAGCATAGGATCTAGCAGACATTGAACAGTTTCCAGTGAGCCCGATTGCACTGCCAAGTGAAGAGGTGTTCGTTGATGATTATTTTGAGCGGCAATATCAGCCCCTTTGGATATCAGGAGCCGACAAGCCTCACTGAAAAGAAAAAACAAAACAAAACAAACAAAATTAAGACTCAACACTTCGCAACGCTAAGAATGATACATGCCATGCATCAAATTTCACGTCATATTTGATATGCACTTCTGATTGGGAAACGGTCTTTCAATTTGCGAGGGTAAGCATTTTCTGGACGAGTGCAAAAAATAGGTTTTTCTGTAATGCGTCTCAACAGGCTCTGTCTGAGATTGTAGCTCATTCTCTCTTGGTATCGAGTGATGGGCTGTCTCGACTTCGCACCCGACCAAATGAAGAAGGTCTATCTACACCTCAGTGAATGGGTGACACATTTGCATATCAAAGCACCCACAATAGACTTCTCACCTGTGTTTATTCAATGCTGCGAGGTGTAGTGGAGTCATTGCAACCTCATCTCTGGCGTTTACAAGCTTTAGTAGGGAAGGACATCTCAAAAGAGACTTAATGGATTCCAGTGATCCATTTTCTGCTGCATGATGTAGTGGTATCCTATCGTTTATATCCTTTTCTCCGGTTACAAAACTTGTCTTTAGAAGAATATCAAGAATCTGTCGAGGGGATGAAAAAGTTAACAAAAATCATTTACTACTACATCTTCCTCAAGGAACCGACTCTGTTCGTTTGTATTGGACAAAACCCATCAAAATCCGCTGGGACCAGCCTTAATTCACCTGCCTTTACTTTAATACTCTACTAATTTTGCATTACAAAACGTGATAGGCCAATCTTCTTCTTGCATTTGTTAAACAATAAAAATGGAAGCGATGGAAATTGTTCGCAGTGCGCATGTTTTTGACTTAAAATTATTAAAGGAATTTTATTTGGTGTTTCGGATTTATTGCAAAATTTATTCGTTTCGGGAAATATCAATAGGTTAAGGGAAATAACATTAAAAAAAAACAATTGACTTTTTTTACTTGGTGTTAACTCCTACGCATCAGCACTGATCAAACGACATCCTCTCTCGAAATGAGAAAATGATTTCGGATGATTCATTGTCCTTGGTTTTGTGGAAGAAAAATGTTGATTGAAGAGTTACGTTAGCTACTTGAGGCAATTGCTACAATATATGTTTGTAGAAGAATTGTTGTAAGCGTTCTTGTTGATTGGTTTGAGTAAACTACTTCACTACTAGTAGGTTTGGTTTTCTAAGTTAATTGATGATCGATAGCAATTTCTCCTGACATGAATTCGGTACAAAGGAGATGTACCAATTTGGTGCATCTCCGCGGTAACACTATCTGTTCATGAGATATGCTTAATTAGAGCCTTTGACAGATGACAAAGCCTTGTTTATATTAAGTATTTTGTCTAGTTTGACATTTTTGACCTTAATCTGGTCTTCCTTCGATATTTACCAGGAAATGACTACCCTCCTTGTTTTTAAGAGTTTTAAGCATGTTTCTTTGAGTTTTTAACCGAATTCTTGGCAGTGGATAACTTTCATTAGGCTTAGTGATTTTATAGGTGTTATTGTAGCTAAACAACTATTGTTCTAAATTCTGCAGCTTTGTACTTTGCACTGCATTTTTAATTTACCCTTCAAGTTGCAATCACGTTCGTGGTTAATTTATGGAAAAGTTGTAGCCAATCATCTTCGATGAAGAAGCTTAAGGTGACTCGACCCAGTTTTTTTGGGGGGGTACCATCCTACTTCGAAGTTCTCTGGTATCCCCACCTTTACTTTTATCGTAAGTCTAACACATAGAATGGATAACATATAGATCAATCTACAATATAACATAAAATATTTGGCGATCGGAGTAAATGTCACGTGGTTATAATGCCACGCCCCTTTGAGGTCTGAGTCGAAAATCTGCTGTTGCAGGCATTTTTTCGTGAAAATCTCTCGGCTACACATAACGCGCATTAGTGCCTTGCGCTGAACAGAGTTTCACCAAAATCGCAAAGACCCAATTCGAGAAATTCAGCGGTTTCCAAATTTAGGTCATAATTTATGCGAAAATGATAAGCAAACTTTACACGGATTATATCTAATAAACTATGAGATTCATCTCTTTATTTTGAGCATCCTTATAACAGATGGGTCCTTGCAAGTCAGCAAAACGCTTTAGGGCCTTGTAAATGCGCGCGATTTCGAGCAAAGCAAACATATAGAAATTATAGTTTTCGCTATTTGTTGACGTTTGTCAGCGTTTAAGAGTCTTTCTCACGAAAAAAGCATTTTCTTAAAAATTCGTAGTTTTTTTTCCTTCAAATTTTTTCAGGGCCACAATTGACCACGTGATATGCTGGTTCTCACAACAAACAGACGAGTACTTGTTCAATTGACTCCTTTTAATTCTTCAGTCAGGTGACACGAAGTTAGCACAACTCGTATTTTACAATTCTCAGCTAGATCAGTGTTACACGCATTTTTATATCAGCCAGGAAACCAGCTGCTTAGCGCAAACCGAATGCTGACGTAAGTCTAATCCGATTGGTTAAAACAGTTTCATTAGTATGAAAACTTTCGAGATAATTGCTTTGTCAAAATGACTCTTCAACCTAAGTTTTAACTGCTAAGCTTAAGTCAACTGGCCAATATAAAACCAGGAGAACAATATAAAAACTACAAGGTACATACCAGTAAACAGACTTTTCATATTAACAGATAGGAAAGTACGAAAATTACAGTTTGAAATCTAGGATTGTTGTCAATTTACAGAAGGCGTTAAGCTTCTTCATCGAAGATGATTGGCTACAACTTTTCCATAAATTAACCACGAACGTGATCGCAACTTAAAGGGTAAATTAAAAATGCAGTTCAAAGTACAAAGCTGCAGAATTTAGAACAATAGTTGTTTAGCTACAAAAACACCTAAAAAATCACTAAGCCTAATGAAAGTTATCCACTGCCAAGAATTCGGTTAAAAACTCAAAGAAACATGCTCTTAAAAAAAAGGAGGGTAGTCATTTCCTGGTAAATATCGAAGGAAGACCAGATTAAGGTCAAAAATGTCAAACTGAACAAAATACTTAATATAAACAAGGCTTTGTCATCTGTCAAAGGCTCTAATTAAGCATATCTCATGAACAGATAGTGTTACCGCGGAGATGCACCAAATTGGTACATCTCCTTTGTACCGAATTCATGTCAGGAGAAAGTTGCTATCGATCATCAATTAACTTAGAAAACCAAACCTACTAGTAGTGAAGTAGCTTACTCAAACCAATCAACAAGAACGCTTACAACAATTCTACTACAAACATATATTGTAGCAATTGCCTCAAGTAGCTAACGTAACTCTTCAATCAACATTTTCCTTCCACAAAACCAAGGACAATGAATCAACAGAAATCATTTTCTCATTTCGAGAGAGGATGTCGTTTGATCAGTGCTGATGCGTAGGAGTTAACACAAAGTAAAAAAAGTCAATTGTTTTTTTTTTTTTTATGTTATTTCCCTTAACCTATTGATATTTCCCGAAACGAATAAATTTTGCAATAAATCCGAAACACCAAATAAAATTCCTTTAATAATTTTAAGTCAAAAATATGCGCACTGCGAACAATTTCCATCGCTTCCATTTTTATTGTTTAACACATTACAGAAGCTGGTTTTAGACTGTCATTTTAACTGTTTTTTGACACTCAATCAACCAATCACCACCAGGGCATGTTTTGACTTATTTTCGGTTTAGTGGAAGATTATGCGCAGTACGATCAAATGTACCTGAGTCTCCTGGTAACACGCAGCAAGGTGTATCACGGTCTTGTGATCGTATCTCTCAAGTTTCATCAATTTTTCTTTGCCTCTGTCTAGCAACAGTTGAACCATCGCCACTTGCTTATGCATCACAGCTAAATGAAGGCAGCTGTTATGTGCAAAGTCGAGAGCTAACAGGTTAGCTCCACGATCAAGGAGCAGCTCCGCGGTTTCTTTTGCTCCATGAATTACAGCCAGCAAAAACGGTGTCAAGTCCATCATGTTTTTAACCTCCATTTCAGCTCCTTTTTCCAACAGGATCTCTGCTATTTTGGGGTGATTGTAAATAGCTGACCTAGGAAAAATGCTATGAAATGAGGCAGGTTTTTGTCCTTCTTGGAAAAGACAAATATTAAGAATAATCGTAGATCAAACCTACATCGCTGAAAAGGAAACGAAAACAACCTTGAGATAATTCGGCTTCTTGAAAACCAAGTACACTGTAAGTTTGTAACGTTATCGATTTTGCAGATGACATAAGCACAGTTTTACGAAATAAATCGTATATCAAACTGCCTTTTAAACAGAGGAAAGCCTTGCCTAAGGAGCTGAAAAAACACTGAGTAAAAATTTAGGGGTGATCAAGATTTCAACCCTAACCTTTACAGCACGGAATGTATATAACGCTCTACCATATCTGATACAGGCAAATTTTTGTAATTTACCCCAACACGGGCGGGGGCGCGGGGGCAATTCCTCACATGACCTATTTCAGCGTAAGTAACTGGTCTTCCAGGAAGTTTCTATTTGGGCCTACAGCATTCAGCGTTGTGAAGCAGTAGTTGACTTGGCCCAAACGGATGAGGGGCGGGGGGGGGGAACTGGGTTTAAATCACGCTCAGTGGCACACCTATGTAAAAAATTTTATATAAAACTCTTCGCCCCCACATCCCCCCTCCCTCTGTCTCCTTTTAAAGTTAAAGAGATTGGGGGCCTTGTCAACCTTTCTCAGCAGAGATAAGTAAGAGTCCCTGGTTACGAGGTCGGGACCTTATATGCTTAAGCTTACATGTGCAGTGGTGTCTGTAACTGCCCATCTCTGCATTCAGTCCCCGCCCCACGAGAAATCAGCAGCTTTGTTGTTTCCTCGTGACCGCTCATGGCCGACAGGTTCAAAGATGTGATAGAGTTTACTCCTTTTACGGCTTCATAGTCTGCTCCATGGCGTAATAATAGCTCGGTTATTTTACTGTAACCCTTGACACTACTCATGTGCAGTGCAGATGTGTCCTCTATATCCCTGTCGTCTAAAATATCCTTTAGCGATGAGCTCTGCTTCTTCGCTGTAAACAAGCAAACAAAAAACAAAGCTAGACTGTACCGCGTGGTACGACACCAGGTAGCCTACTTAAGCAACTTCATTTCGTGTTTGTTTTCCTTGATTAACTCTTAGACAGCCGGTAAGAAAGGGGAACGGAGACAATGGTTTGTGACTGATTTTTACGCTATAACCCTCGTTACTTACAGAGGTAATTGCTATTTGACAGAAAACTCTCGATGGGGTTCCTGGTGGGTGGCACAAGAGTGAGCCATTTCTCACCTCACCACAGAACTGACATTTTCCTTACTGGAGGAGGGAAAATGTGTCGCACGAAACTGAAACCGAGAGATGGGTAAATGGTTAGCTACATTTTTTTGTTTTTGTTGTTGCTGTTGTTTTTTGTCGGGGGTTTTTATTAGTTTCACGGTAAGCACCCTTACGTTTATGATAACGTGTACCTTAGGTACTATTAGAGCGTTTCGATATAAAATGTATTGCTTGTCAAACAGTTTAATTCCTAAAGTAAGGTATGGGTCACGAGAAACGCATATTTCACATACACATCTTATGCCATTGATCTTCTAAGGCCTGAGGTAAGATAAAGATTTTCCGCAGTTTCCACAACGCAAAAATTCTGAGTCTTGTCATAATCCATCAGGCAATAACAATTACAAAGCCATGAGATTTCACGTGTAACGCCATAAAACAATGAAACTGATTACACAAAACTTGAATGTGAATTTCAGGAACTATCACCACACCAAGTAAATCCAGTTTCGCTTGCCAATCACCGTGCTATATGTCCTACAACATTTAGAGAATCCCTTCCCAAAAGAAAAGGTTAGGCAGAATGGAGAGTCACGAAAACAGGTAACCAAGCCGTTTCGAGCAGTGATTTAGTAGAGCTGAACAGGGAGCCAAGGAGTTCAAGGATGACGACATCTACGAACGATGTAAGCTGAGACCGATTTTCGTTTACAAGCAGCATGATCTTACTACAGTCGAAGCTGAGTTAGGTGCACGAGTTGCTTAAAGAGGCTAAAAGCAATGGAAAACTATAAAAAAAAGTCTGGGCAAAAAGTGGTCGCGGTCGCTTAAGGGAGGTGGTCGCTTACCAGAAGTGGTCGCACATGGAGAGGTTAGACTGTACAGTCAAACCACCACTAACGGCCACCTCTCCACAACGGCCACCTCTCTACAACGGCCACTTTATTTTGTCCCGACGGACAGTCCATACATTGATTCATATTTAACCCTATCTACAACGGCAACGGCCACTAACGTGTCCCCAACTGCCAAAAAAACCTCTCGATAACTGTCAGTTTTTTCAGCGACTGATGAAAAAGTCAGGAATGGTCGTGAAAATTTGATCCGTATGGCGCGTTGATGATAAATCGCAGCAATCGTATTTGATTTTGTTTCATGCAGTAAGCATTATTGTCTACGATACTTACAGCGAATGTTGCGAACCTTTCTCGTTTTGTCACGTTAAAATTTTGATTCAAAACATAATTCAAGTTTTTTGCGTATTTTTGTCTCTATATATTATTTAACATTGGATTTTACCATTATGGGAGACAGTAAGCATGGACTTAGCACAATAAACATGTTGTACTCCCTAAAAAAATTGTCATATTACACCCCTACTTTCCCACAACGGCAAACTCTCCACAACGGCGACTTTCTTCTGTCCCCAAAGCGGCCGTTGTGGAGAGGTTCGACTGTATGTAACAATTCTCGTAACGATTACTCACCTGCAGTGATTATTAGTTTACAGATTTCTACGTTTCCGCTCAGTACTGCAAAATGAAGTGCCGTGGTCAGATTCAAAGACTTTGCCGTCAGATTTGCGCCACGAGCTAGCAGCATTTCACAAAGAGATCGGTCCCCACTGGAGCACGCTCCCAGAAATGGCGTTATTCCCGCTGAATTGGCATTATTCACATTTGTCCTGGGATCATTTAGAAGAAGACATGCAATTTCTTCATAGCCTTTTCGAGCAGCAAATAGAAGAGGCGTTGCGTTCTCGTTGTCTGGAACACTAGTGTCTGCCCCCTTTTCAAGTAAGGCTCGAACTGCTTCAGTATTTTTGTGTCTAAAAAAAGGAATATCTGTTAACCAATAGGAACACTAATTCTTTTCCTGACTTTTATAGTCTAATGAAGTTATTTTCTATTAACTACGTGGTACAGAGTAATGAGATAAATTCATTGAATTGTTGCCCCCTTTTGGGTTCTAACTAGGTGTCACGTGACGTGGTTGCGTGGTTCATTCTTTCATGCTTCCATGCTGTATAAGGGCGTTTAAAGATTTTGCCTGCCTCCTTCCCTTATCATGTCCATGTCTACTAACCTTTTTCTTTCCTACAAATTTGGCGGCGTTTTGGTGCCCGCACCTTTACTGGGCTGAACATTCACTAACAACCTTTTGTGAGACTGGAATTAAATGGTTATGATAAAACATTAAAGCGGCTATGGGTATTTCCCACAGCCAATGTTCGTTCATCCTGGTCGTCTTCTATGCCTAGTAAACAGAGCTTAGGCAATGCAGTGCACAATGTCTTGCTTGTACAGTACTAATTTGGGTTGGAGAAAGATGAACAGAATTTTATCACATTAACGGCCTCGTCGTTTCATGGATGATTCAGAATATTCTGGGCCTGCTGCCCATCAAGATCTAGAAGGGTATCATCGGGATCCGGGATTTGGCCGAAATTCTGAGCGGGATTCGGGAAAATGCAAAAATTCTTGACGGGCTATGGAAATTGACTGCGACTCGGAAAGAGGGATTCGCCGAACTCTTGCACGGGAAAGAAGACGGTATTCGGGATAGAGATTACAAAAGCTAGTGAAAAAGGAGCAGGAATGCGGGCTCACAGAACCCCCTTCCTGATCCTGGCCCATGAGAATACTATCTAGAAAGTCAGCCTTTTTTATAGAAACAAAGCAGCAAAGCGAAAATCCTCAGACTGTTCACGAGTAAAGTCTATACAACAGGGACACGCAACGACGGTTTCCTTCAAAATACATTGAAAACACTTTAAAGGCTGTCCAAAGTACTTTAAGATCTCTAGAAATACATTCTAACCGGCGCTATAAATTTGTATCTTTTCGGTCATCCTTATACAGGGCAAATTGAGCATTTTCGAAATTACATGGGCTTTAATATTACTTTCCCGAATATTTTAGATGCAATTTAACGTATTACGAAAGTGAGGATTTTTCTGATTGCTCTCTCCATCACCTTTTCCAATCCGAAAATGTTTGGTTTCCTTTTTCGACGGAACCTAATCTGAAATGTGGAAAAATTAAACTTCGGAAAATCGATTGCACATGAATGGAAAGGTCGTCAAGAAATTTTTAGCCGTCCTCAAGTAAAAGAAAATACTAGGTAATATATGCTTCTCCGAACAGATATTTTACAGAAAACAGCCGTTGGGTGCCCCTGAGAGAAACTTTCGTGTGTAATAGTTTCAAAGAAGCAAAATAGCTTTCTTAACAACCGAGACCCAAAAAGCGCCGCGGGAAGTCAACGTACCAGCTGATTTGAGCTCAGGCTTTTTTTTATGATTTGAATGGACAAACCGCAGGAGCGTATTCACATAAGATAATTGATTCGAAATTTTATGAAAGATGAAACGAATACAAAGTAATAGAGAAACGCAACGTTTTACAGTAGAACCCCGGTAACTCGCGAACTGTTGTCCCTTATTTTTTCGTAACATCGTCAGCCAGAGGAACTAATGTGATGGCATCCGAATGGAATGACAGGAAACAGAATTCGAGTTATAGGGGTAAATGTCAGTGAAATTTTAATCAAGGGAAAGGAGATTTAGTTCGAGTTAGCGGACTGTTAGCGGCCGGGAGTTCGAGTTATATCGGGGTTCTACTCTACTGCAAGACACAATAACATAGCCTACCTTACGGCGACATGAAGGGGAGTGTATCCATTATTTTCCACCAAATCAATACCTGCACCTTTTTCTACTAAAAATTTAACAACATCAGCTTGATTACATCGTGCAGCGTGGTGCAGCACCGTGAAGCCATCTGAATCTTTACTACGTAAAAGGTTCTCGTCTGCCAGTGGTAGCTGTAGGCCTTCTAATTTAAGACGTTCTGGGTTTAAGGTTTCAAAAACGCTGACGCCCTTTCCCTGTGACAACATCTGCTGAAACTTCTCGTTAAATCTTCCAGGATGTTTCTTCGAAGGATTAAGCTCCATGGCTGCGTCGTCTTTTCCGAGGTTGAGAGGGGTTACTGTAGCGCCAGACGGAAATAGTTTTGTCCTGATTGTTGGACTGTCTGGAATTATAAAGAAAACGACTTCAATTCTTTTATGAAATCAAAAGGAAATGAAAAGATACAAGATACAAGGTATACAGCCAACTCTCTCTCGTAACTCTTTAAGCCCCAAGAGCAACCAACATCAATTTTTTTCCTCCCAACAACATCAACAGATAATCAAGAGATTGGGTTATGAGAATAAAATAATAAAATATAATCATCGGAGGCAAAATGCTTTGACCCTCCAAAAAATTCTCTCAACTAATGATTTTAGGAAATGTATGGAGATCAGTCTGGAGGATTTGTATGTTGGGCTAAAAGGGTCAAAAGACACTCTTTATAACTTCAGTAGACAGTCACCTCTCAAAGATGCTACTTAGCTACACTTGGTGCCATTCCCTAAGAGGGAGTTGGCTGTATAAGAACAAAACTGCCCAGCCAGTCTTTTCATAATGAGCAATGTAGAAACATTATTAAATAAAAGGTGACAGTTTGGTTTGGACATAAGTATAATCCAAGTGAACCGATTGAACAACTAAATATAAAAATTCATAGTAAAGTGGTGACCTTGGAGAACTCAGTGAAAAATAAGTGCTCCAAGGTCACTTTCCTATGTGTTTTTGTATTTAGTTATTCAATGAGCTCAGTTGGATTATTCCCCACCTTTGAAACCCTAAGGGAATAAATAAGGGTGTTGAGAAATGCTGTCTACCTCTAGCCTGCCAACTTAGAAGTATTTCCGCTCATCGCGTCTCTCCAACCAAGAAGTAAGTTTCCTGCGAAAGCAGACGTACTTCTGGTCATCACTTTACTCCACCATTTTCAGGTACAGAGAACCCATGATAATTGACGTCTGCATTTGCAGGCCAAAATGCCCCAAAATAAGGTTCTCAGTTACATTGTCACTTCAACCATGGGGGCCAGAGACTTTTCATGCGCGGTTTCCGGTTTTGGTCAAGTCTTTATAGCTATCCACTACACCACTCATGGCTTCATCCTAAGAACTGCCATCCTGCGGCCACAACTAAACATTCCAACGCACATCAAAAAAAAGTGGTGGTACCCAGGGTCAGGAGCCCATAACCTCTGTATTGCTGGTTTGCACATGATGTCACGGCAGCCATGTTGGTGGTCAAGAACAAAAGCATCTCTCTCCTCTGGGATGTTAACTTCAATTCATGTAAATTCTTCGAAAACATCTCTTGTTTTGACCTCCAACATGGCCGCCTTCTCACGTGGTTGAAAACCAAGAATATCGTTCCTTATGCACTAGTTACAGCTAGTTCACACTTAAATTACAAGTTTAAATTGGTACCTGTAAATCTCACGTAGCTGTCCTCAGAAATATTTGTTTTTTCGGCCATTTTCAAAGGCGATAATGAAGCTTTCAATGGATCTCGTAAACTAAAAACAATACCAGTAATATTTCATTCATTTGTGCAATATTACCTACATGTATGTAAATTTAAGAACGACGTTTTGGCGACATACATTAGCATGGAAAATCGATTTATTCAACAGTAGATAAAATTTATTTTTTCAATGAAACTCACGTAATACATCGAGTTGATGAGAGAAAAACTAAGTTCACGGATTTGGGAGGAAAGTTTATGAAAGCACTATGCAAGAATGAGTACTGGCGAATCGATCAACCGTATCGCAATCGATCGCTAATTACAACGCAAGGCATCGCCAAAAAACATATAAACAAAAGTCGCTAAAACACAAGAAGGATTAATTACGACAAGGATATCATGGAATGATATTTTTCACTATCAATAATGCCATTTTCGTATGCTTTACACGGTGTACTTACCAATATTACTGCAGCAACTTGACGAAAGAAGAATATCAGTCCGCTACAAGTGTACCTGCCGGGATGGCTCTCACATATTTCTCTTCGACTGTCTTATCAACTTCAACTAAAAAAACTAAGCCGTTGTGCCTTCAGTAGGTGAACAGGATTCCATGGCGCGGATTTCAGACCAGAGTTGCCAAATATTGTCATCGATTACGATGTTCCAGTTGTGTCACGCAAAGTTGCGTATTTGCGTATTGATTGACACGCTGCTAAGCAACAAGACCAGGTGCGAAAGCATCATTAGCATTGTAATGACTCGCAGTCTCAGTTCAGGCAACGTACACACATCCGAATATCCTTGAAAAATGAGATTTTTTTCTATGTTTTAGCCCTCTGTCCTCATGTGGGCGGCGTTTTCGGGAAACGTAAGACAGGTTTTCGAAAACGGTCCCAGAAGTGTAGTAATGTTTTGAAAACGCGGGCTTATAGCTTAATTCATTTGGACGGCCACGGTAGATAAGTAAGTAAAAAAAGTAAGCAAGTAACTTTATTAAAGTGTCAGTCGTTCTAGTGTTAACACACTGATTGGAGACACTATATGATAGAAAATATATATACACCTAATTGCAATAACGTTGTCATAGAAAAAAGCAAAAAGCAAAAAGCAGAAAGCCAAATAGGAATTAATTAGCCATGTGATTTACATTTGCGTATTTTAATAATTTAACAATTATTTAAGAAGTCATTCATAATAAGAAGAATAATTCTGTAATTCCGCGCTGTAAGATTCCGCACATGAAACACTGATGTGTGTAACAAAAGGGTCCTGACAAAACGAAGCTTGGTTTGTGGCGCGGTAGAGGAACTGGCGGAGGAACGCCTCACCCTCTCCACGATGGAAAGTCCTGCCTACACCCCTGATTTGTTGCTTGAAAATTGTGATCTGATGGTGTTGTGCACTACAAACCATACGCAGACTGGCTTTTCTATTTAGCTTTAAACGAAAAGACGCGTCGCGTCCCTGGAATTTACCCCAGGCTATATTTATTGAAAAAAAATGGAGCCATTTTTTCTTTAGTAGTTATCCGATGTACGTTTGTAATTAGAGCACGTTTGAAATCCGCTAGATGAATCAGCCTCGAATTGCATTAGAATTACACCAAGAAACTGATGCAAATGATTTGGCTTTTGATATTACGTGATTAATATTCAGGTATAAGCGTGTGTGTTGTGAATGTTGCAAGCAATGATAATTTAATGCTAATTAATTCCTATTTGGCTTTTTGCTTTTTTCTATGACAACCTTATTGCAATTAGGTGTATATACACTCAATTGCATATTACATCTACAACGTCAATGGCTAAAATAAGCTATTGCCCGGTGACATTAAAAACTATATATAAACATATAAAGTCAAAAACGATTTCCCGGTTGGCATTAAAAAAATATGACGCCAAAAAATATTTAAAATAACATTAAAAACTATTGCCCAATGACATTTAACATAAAATGCTAAAAATGGTTATTAAGTCATAACTAAAAGGTGATAAAAATACTGATACAAGACCTACACTAGTTTTGACAAAGGAAACAATTAGCTAGCTACAGCTACTGTCCTGCCCGATTAGGCAACGAATATTATATGCCTTATCTTTTTCTTAAAAATGGACTATGTATCAGATAACTTAATGTAAAAAAATTAATGTAATGCCAAATTAGAGTGTTGTATGAATTTAACCGATTTTTTGATGAATTCAAACCTTTGCTTGGAGAATATGTACAGCCCCCGAAATGATCCCCAACCCTGAACTAGGTATCATTTCGGGGGCTGTACAAATACAGCTTTTAATAAATTAAATTCACAAGTTTCGATAAATTCGCGAGATTGAATTTTGAACCTGGTAAAGCGCCATAAGAAACAGAGGTCATTTCGAATACGATGATGTCATGCATTTCGCATGCCCCGTAAGGAATAGCTAGGAATGCTATTGCGTGGACGGGAGAAAACATTTCAAATACGCTGCGTGTGGAAGCGTATTTGATATTTACTGAATGTAAGGCTGGTGATATGACTAGCAAAATCAGCCATCCTCATGGCCAGTCTAAGGTCCGGCTAGGGGCAATGTATGAAAGGTCGCCCTTAAACCTAAGACCTCGGTGAACTTTTACGTTTAGGTGCCACATTTCCTTGCCTCTTTTAATTTACTCGCGTAAAATTTATGTGGTTTCACACGTGAAAATTTCGCGACAGTAGAAATCCACCTTGAGGTAAGCTTCACATGTTTTACGGTGTGACCTCATTAATTTATTTCCCAGTATAGTGCAACACATAATGGCAGCACCTGCGCTCTCTCCTGCCTCCGCAGAGGCCTTTTTGTGTCGTTGGGAGGCTGGGGAGAGCGAAAAAAGAAAGTGCGAGGCCGGAGGGAGGGGATAATGAATACCCAGGGGGAGCCTTTCTGGAGAATCGAGAGAGGCACCTGTGCTCATATTATATTGCTTGTTGGAGTTAAGCCTATCCAAACATCGTTTTCTTAATGTATGGACAGAACCAAACACACCTGTCTGCAGGTCGTTTTAAACTTACTCAAGTTATACTGGCGTTGCATTTTCATTTCAAAGAAATATTTTCTTCTGTTGCCGGCTACAAATTCTCAGTCTTAAAGGAAGATACACGATGACAGAAGCTAGAAATTTCTATTCGTCTTACATCGCCCTTTGCATCTTAAACGGTTTCTTGTGCTGCATTGCGATCATTCTGAATGGTATCACGATCCATGCCATAAGAAAAACTTCAGCTTTGCCAAATACTCTAAGAATATTGCTCCTAAGCCTAGCTTTTTCTGATCTTGGTGTTGGTCTACTGGTACAGCCTCTAAACATTGCATTTTTCGTCATGGAGATGGGACCAAACGCTGAAAGCCACCCCACCTACAAGATCACAGCCTATGTGCAAAGGGTCGTTGTAAATCTCTTTTATTATGCTACTTTCTTTGACATTTTAGCTCTTAGTGTAGACAGATTTTTGTCTATTTATCTTCATCTTAGATACCAGGAACTTGTAACCCACAAGCGTGTTGTTGCTGTTGTGATTTCAATATGGATTTCAAGCTCATTTATTTCTTCTATTCACTTTTGGATAGCAACTGATATCATTCGTGACGCTATTTATCTAACCATTGAGTTAGCTTGCCTTTTGACCACAACACTCCTTTACTGCAAGATCTATTTAGCGGTAAAACGTCACAAAAGGCAGATTCAAGCCCTTCAGATACAGCAGCAAGCACAAAATGAAACCGTTGGATATCGGGGGAGATTTAAGACTGCCATAGCAGCATTTTACATATACCTGGTGTTTCTTGCTTGTTATCTGCCGCATAATTGTTCATACGTCTCCAGGGTTATAACTGGTTCTTACAGTTTAGATGGTTTGGTAAGACATTTAGTTAGATATACTTTGACGCTGACGTGGCTGAATTCATCTCTAAATCCTCTGATCTACAGCTTGAAGATGAAACAAATTTGCCTCACGATTAAGAATATTTTCCAAAATATTCTACCGATCACTTGAGCTTTGTTTTAATTCGTCGTTGCGGCATGGTGATCTGCAGCAGACTTTTTAAGGCAATGAATTACTAAGGTTCGCTCGAAACATCTCCGTGTGTGTGAAAGATGTCATGCGGTGACTAACTCTGGGTGCAAAGTCTTGGAAGCCTTATCAAGCCTAGCCTTCAAACGGAGAGAAGCGACGACCGGAAATACGTCTGCGTTCGCATGCTACTATCAAACCGTGCGCTTGGATTATTTCATCCAAAGTAATTTAAGACCGGAGTTCTGGAGCCAGGGTCTTCTGGTGACTGACAATTAAAAATGATATCTATGCCTGATGTAAAGCAAAAATCGGACTCCTCAATAGATCAGAACATCGCCGACGCAAAAGACTAACCTTAATTTATAATACAGTTTGCGGTTCAGCTGATATCTCTCAAGAAACTCTGATTATTTGGTGAAAAAATGGAAGGAAGGACTAAGGCGTGCTAAGAGAGTAGATTTCCTGTGTTTAATTCAAGCCCATAACGCTGGTTATGATCTTTGCTTTCTGCGGCAGGTATTAAAGAATGTGATCCGTCTCCTTTCATGTTACTAAAAAGGTTTTGTAAATACTACAAAGGCAATTTTGAAAAACTGCCTACGATAAAAACGATGTAAAATTAGCCACCAAGTTATAGCGGGTCTCAATGGGGTGCTTTGACGGCTGACGGTAAATTGTTTCCAATTTTGACGGTTGACGGTTATTAAGTGGTCTTAAATGGGAATGTAGTCCAAATGTTAGAGGACACATTTAACTTATCTATGCCGGAATTAAAAAAGCGAGGATAATCCTCTTGATTAAAATCAGCTATTGTGTTTTGGAGGTTTTCTTGGCCTTTCACTTGAAATAATTTAGGAGTATTTTCAGATATCAAAAAAAACTGGTTTTTCCAGTTTATAGAGATTATTCAGAAGCCAGAATTCCGTAATAGTGAGATTTGAAATACCGTGAAACTTTTTGACGGTTAATCTTAATCTGCATTTTTGACGGTTGACGACATAAAATAACCTTTTTTGACGGTTGGCGGTTAATTTTTAGGCCGTTTGACGGCTGACTGTGAACCCCATTGAGACCCTCCTCATAATCTTCTTAGTTGCAGAAATTTGATCCCGATGTAAACACTCAAGTTAGATTTAGATTTAGAATTTATCGGCCATCAGATGATTTTGTATAAATGTAAAATCCTTTAGCCAGCATGTAACATAAAGCCTTTCATAATTTTTTTTCGTATTAGTACGGACCTCCTTTTGCTAGAAACAACTTGGTAGGAAAACTTAACAGAAAAAACAGAGATCCTTTTTTGTCGTCGTTATCTAGATTTTCTAAAATTGCCAATTCACATCATCAACAAACTGTTCAATACACTATTTTTCCCAATTTTAACGTATTGCTCTGAAGTTTGGGGAATCTATGATAAAAGTGATTATAGCCGGTGGGATAAAGACTCGATTGAGAAAACGCATATACATTTTTGTAAGATGTGTTTAGGTTTAAACAAACGTTCACCGAATGTTGCATCGAGAAATGAACTTGGTAGATTATCTCTAAATTTACAAATAACAATGAACATTTTCAAATTTTGGATTCACCTTGAAAATCAACCCCCCGACAGCATTGCTAAACTCTGCTTAAACATATCAGATAAAATGGCCGAAGAAAATAAATCAGGTCTAATAAATAAAATAAATCTTTTGAGTACACAACTTAATATATATTCATAAACAGTCAGTTAACTTCAAAAACCCTTGTTCTTTCCTGTCCAAAGCTGAGAATAATTTGTCAAAACATCTGAAAAACCACCAGCTAAATTTGATAAGAACAAATATAAAAATAAAATTCTACTCCATCTTTAAAAATGAAACAAATCACTCTGAATTCATCAATCATATTCGAAATCCTGAACATAGGCGTGTAGCGTCCAAATTTAGGATAGGAAATCATAATTTCAAAATAGAAACCTGAAGATTTACAATTCCCAAAACTCCTGAAGACCTTAGAATCTGTGATCATTGCAACCAAAATTCGGTTGAAAATGAACTGCACATATTATTTCACTGTGATCAATACAATGATTTGAGAAAGACTCTTTTTATTAAAATCAACGACTGAAATACATTATTTACACATTACAATATCCATGATAAGGTCTGTTTTCTTTTTAACAATATACTGATTCACATATCAGCAGGCTAGCTGCTAATTTCATCTTTCAAGCATTTGAAAGACGAAAGAAACATAGTTAATTCTACCGTTCCATCATATCTGCATTTCCTTAAACTTAGCTGTTTATTATTGTTATTTTAATCGATAACACCTGTACAAAATGGTAATACTGAATAAACTTGTTGTTGTTGCTTCCATTCAGGAGTAACTTCAAGCTGTGCAGCGCACGTTTATCATTAATTAATATAAGCTAGCCATTAAAACAAAGGATCAAACGCGGTGAATATCTTTGAAAGTTGATAAAGCTGTCAAATTTAAGTGCAAAACTTGGACAGACTCTAATATTGATTCCAAATATTTGTTAAGGTAAAAGGTCCTTATCATTCAGACCTCTGTAACTCGTATACTTCAACTGACAAACCTGATCGAGGTAAATGGTGCGTTTATTTTTAACCCCCCCCCCCCCTCCCTCCATCAGCAGTGCTCTGTTTTACGGGTATTTAAAGCTACTTAAAGCTATACAGGGAAAGAAAATAAGTCGAAACAAGGATTTGAGGTCACACCTGGCAATCGAACTCGGAACACCCTGCACACCCGGGGCCACGCACTAAGCAAATGTGCTGAATTGCTCCCCCTATTTCTCAGTCCTTTTCTGATCGGATTAAATCCCCCCAAAAATTCATGCAGTACCTATCTCAAAAATTATATATATTCACAAGCAGCTGAGTACCTAAAAAAAATCATGTACGAGAAGTTCTATGCATAGTATTTATTAAAGGGTAAAGTATTAGAAAAAACAAGGTACCATAGAACAATGCCGGCCATAACATATATCTTGCTTTCTATGCAAAAATTAAACTTCCATACTATATGTTATCCCGGCGGAGCCAACACTTTGTAATCGGTTTAACTTTCTAGTCTTCTAGGATAAGGACGAAAAAACGGAGACTCCGTCTCACAACACTCTCACTTATCTGGTTCTAGTGGACGTAAAAGAACCCGGCCACACCACTGTTCGAAAACAGTAGGGGACGAAGACCCCGGTGGTGCAGCCAACGTACTTTCCCGGGCTGGGTGGGTTATCTGTAAGGAGAGATCTTAATATAACGTAGGAATAAATATCCTCCTTCGAATTCAAGTGTCGTAATGGATACCTGTAAAAAGTGTTGGCATATATCTCTGTTATCCCGGATATTATTCCTCACGAAATATACCAGGTATACTGTGCTATACCATCCGGTCTCTCTTTCTTTCTTTTAAAACTTCGTTTTCGTGTCTTGGTAATGTTTGGTTTTTGTTTTTGTTTTTTTCTTTTTTGCGAAATCTGCTTATTCAAGAAAATTAATTATTCCTTCTTTAATTATGATTCAAAAGTCATTCAGGAAAGACATGCAGGCAGTGCACCTGTTTCGAGAGCTATTTCAAAACATCCGCTTAAAACCAGCACTCAGAACCTTCCATTTTTCCTTCTTTGGACTCTTTAAAGCGGCTGAATTGCAAGTTCATATTTAGATTAAACGAGGTACATCGCTGACTGTAAAAACGCACATGATGACAGAACCAAACAATTTCTATCCGTCTAACATCGCCCTTTGCGTTGTAAAAGTTCTGTTGTGCCTTTCTGCCATCATGCTGAATAGCATTTCAATCCACGCCATCAGGAAAACGTCGTCGCTACAAAAGACTCTGAAAATCATGCTGCTGAGTCTAGCTGTTTCTGATCTTGGCGTTGGCCTACTGGTGTATCCTTTGGCCATTGTAATTACCACCCTGGAGATGACTTCCAATGCCCAAAAGAATCAAGCTTATATGGTTATACTCACCTTATTTCAGGTCCCCTTGAATCTGTTTTATTATGCTACTTTCTTTGGCGTGACTGCTCTCAGTGTAGAGAGATTCTTGGCCATTTTTTTTCATCTTAGATACCAGGAACTAGTAACCTACAAGCGTGTGGTTGCTGCTGTGATCTCAATATGGATCTCATGCGCATTTCTTTCGTGTATTCAGTTTTGGACCACACCACTCATTCGTAACGTCGTTTATGTAACCATTGAACTGGCTTGTCTTTTAACCACAGCACTCCTTTACTACAAAATTTACCAAGCTGTGCGACGCCACACAAGAGAGATTGAATCCGTTCAGGTAGAGACTCTTGGCGGGGACATCACAAGGACTACTCGGCGATTCAAGTCTGCCATCGGAACATTCTACATATATCTCGCTTTTCTTGCTTGTTACCTGCCACATAATTGCACCTATCTTGCCAGGCTTATATTGGGTTCCTCTATTAACTTGGATTTGGTACTGCACTTGATGCAATACACTTTGACGCTTACATGGCGAAATTCATCTCTTAATCCTCTGATTTACACCTGGAAGATGAAACTAGTTCGCTTGGTAATAAGAAATACTCTGCAGAATATTCTAATAAATAGATTTAGCCGAGGCTAAAGGCGAAGCTCCTGTTAATGAAAAAAACATTGCAATAAAGAAATTCAATTCGAGTTGAGCCTGCGATCAGTTGAAAACTAGACAACTCGTCAGCGGCAAACTTCAAAAAAAAACACGTAACCTCGAAGGGTCGACACCTGAGCCCGCAATCCTAGAGCTAGGAGAAAATAGGGGGCTGTGAATAGTCTAAGAAAACCAAAAGCTACGTTTTAAATTATCCTTGTAATCGGCATCAAACCGTGAAAGGACTATCCTGGACAAGTGTTCGAAGCCCGACTTCTCTCATCATGGGTTACAGTCAAACCAGGTCAAGCGTACCCCCCAAGAATCCATTAATGAATTTATTATTCAAAAGTTGAATCCGATGCTAGTTGTAGATTTCAGATTGATCTCTGCATTCTTGTATGTGTAATGAGCCGTGAATTCACACGCGAGGCAGTTATGAAATTTCTACCAGCTCCATTTTCCTGAAATTGATGTAAATGTCTTCTAAGAAGCTTAATCCATTCAAAGATTTCCAATCTGACCAAATACAGAGAAGTTCTCGTAAAATAATCACTGCGCATTACGCATGCAGAAATGCCGCTTTGTATTTGACACCAGTTACGGGAACCACTAACGGATTCATTTTTCAAATAATCAATTCACTGATAGAATCTTGCGGGGTACGCTTGAATTGGTTTGACTGTAAATCCAAACAGAGAATATGAGTTGTCATGGTAATGAATAACCCGGGATTTTCGATAAGTGTTGTCAAAAAAAGTAGGACTCACTGCCGAGTGAAATAACATAACTTAATGTAAGATCGATGAGCTTGTTTAAGTAAAACTAAATAAACGCATTTTTAAAAACGTATGGAAGGCTCGATGCATTTCACAATAAGTTTTATGCCCTATCTAATTTTAGCACTGATAAAAATAAAATTTTTCAATCTCCATTTAAAAGAGTTAAAAGTCCGAAACACTGGTTGTTTACCATTTTTATGGGACAACCAGTCTGTTGACGGTTTGGGAGAATGGTACGCAAAAATTCAGAACTGGTAAATTTCGTCCCGGAATCGCCGCGTTTACCTTTTGTACAATTCATTTCCATTTCACGGAAAACAGCCGCGAATGCCTGAAAGTGGTATCAAAGATGGCTTGAAGAAATGAAACACGAATTTCCCGTTTGGAACATTCCGTCCCGGAACAAAAACAGGACTATCTTTTCACGGTTGAAACAGTGGAAAATTTTCCACTGGAACGACCCAAAAAGTCGTCTTCCATTTACTTTCCAGACGGATTTTCTCGAAACTTTTTGTAAATGGTACGGAAACAACTACTGTTTAATTTTATAAAATAACTAAGATAGTACGCGCGCTCTGATTGGCCGAGAGGAGTGTTTGCATGAGAGTATGTAAACATGGTTGTGGCGTCAAGTTGTTTGGCTTTTCGCGCGCTAATCACGCAAGCACGAATTTGAAAAAGTTTTCGAGTTCAAAACTCGACAAGTTTACTTTATTTACCCATTCCTTCGTCGACTGAAACATGGAAGATCGTTACAAAGAAGGTGAGTCAATTTTTCTTCACTTAAGTTGACATTTTAAGCGAGAAAAATCCGTATTTTGCAAAGCATCTTTTTGCAAAACAAGAGCTGATTACGTGTTCAAGACTTCGTGGACAAGATTTTGCGACTGGTAAGACTTTCTCTTTTAATCAGTGCCATACAAAGAGTTTTGCGTTTTTTTCTCGGGAAAGTTATTGTATAAAAGCAATAGAAAACTTTTTTCCTGTGTTTGCATAGCCTGATATAAACACTCGAGGCGTTGGGAGAATTCGAGACAGTTATGCAAACCCGAGACGAAGTCGAGGGTTTGCATAACCGTCGAGAATTCTCCCAACTCCTCTCGTGTTTATATCAGGCTATGCAAACACGGAAAACGTTTTCTAATGCTTAAATAATAGGTAGGTCGGCATTCCAGAGCTTTGATGCAATGACTGCTGTTGAGATGTACCAGTATTTAGAGAGTTAGTTTAAGATATGTATCATCTTTTAAGTTTCGTTTCGTTTTTTTCATTAAGTGGGTCAAAGTTAATCTCGATTTTCTCCATGAAGGTGTTTTACTGTTTTCACCTTGTGATTTTACTTGTACCTGAATTTTCGCTGAGCTCACGAGTTTTTAATGCCATTTAAGGAACGTTGTTCGCTTTCCATTATCAGATGTTAGTTTTGCATAGGTGGTCGTGTTATTGATGAGGGGAGGGGGTTGTGAACAAAGTCTAATGATGTTAGAGCTGACCTTGGTTCATAAGTCGTCTTGAAGTTCCTGTCTGGGTTTGTTAACCAGCGTTTTAGTTTTTCATTGGTTTGTGGCTTCCGGCAGACTAGGAAAGTCTAAGCTTCCTGCCGATCGCAGCCATGTAGTTTCAGTGATACCAAAACATTCACCCACACTGAGTTTAACTTGTTTTTATTCCCATGGTCAGCTAACCCAAACATGTACAGCTTTGGCTATAAACAACGTTGCTATTTGACTTGTTAGAGAAGAAGAGTGAAATAGGAGTCGATAACGAGTGTTAAGAGTAGTTGCAGTAGAAGTCAACAAGAATGAAGACCCGAAGATGTAAATCAGCTTCCTGGTACCTCATCGTGTAGAGAGCGAGTTGCGCGAACACACCCCCACACTTCGAAGGATCTTTACTGTTAGGTTACCGTTTTAGTGTTTTGAAAAGACAGCTGGTTTAACAGCACGTTTGTTTTATCTCATAATAATGTTTAGCTGAGAATCGTCAGCGTATATCTTTGCATTAAAGCCGTGAGCCATGGATGAGCCGTGGGAGCAAAGGGGTAGGAGCCAATAACTAACGATTAGTATCCATACCTCCCTCATTGTCTATAATGGTCGATTAGCCCCAAACCCGAGTACTTAGCGAGGGCCGCCAACTGCCTGCTCCAAAGTTTACGACCTGAAGACCCGAAGGACCTGAACTTCGAGCTGATAGAAGAATACACTCCCCAAGGATTCTACCAGGCGGATGTAATAGTCAAGAACCGACGGCACCTCATATTTGCCAGACCAGAAGAGCTGCAGACTTTGGCCATAGCAAAGTCCTGGTACGTCGATGGCACCTCAAGCTAATACGACATCCCTTCAAACAGCTCGTAGCCATCAATGCCTTTGTTAGATCCGGCGAGTGCGCGAAACAAGTGCTGCTGGCATTTGCCCTTATGTCAAACAAGAAAGGAAAAGACTATAAGAAGGTATTAGAAATTTTAGTATCTAATGTGAAGTGAACGTATGCTTATCTAATAAAGGTAGAGCAATTCCATTTAAATCACATATAAATGTTTAATTCTCACTAAGGCAATCTCGACGTCACGTCGGTTGGCATAACGTCCTAAATCGCAGAGCTGGTGCGCAATGCAACCTGCCTTTATATTATCTGATTGAGCTACTGGACAGGGAGGCGAAACTGACAGCTGAAACCATTTAGTCCAGTCAAATTGAGGTTTAGTATCAAACTAATTGCGACAGAATTTTTTTCAACGCCATTTAATTGTTGAATGGCTGTTTAACAACATACTAAAAATCCGCCAAAATCGGTTCGGTGAAACATGAGAAAAATTGGCAATAAAGATTTTCAACTCTCAACACAGGAAGCCCAATATCAAGAAGATCACAAATTCAGACAAAACATCCGATAATTGGGTTTTATTTTCTCAAGAATTTTTGATATAACATCGCTAGTGTATTTTGGGTAGTTTTGATTTAAAAAACGCCGACTTAAAATGTGTGAGAAACACCAGGGTAAGTGTTTCGTCTTGACGGCTCTGCACAGGTTACCCAGCCACTTGTCTGTCTCCATATTCTGTTTTCCAAGCTTTAATTTTTAATTCTATGACGGTATTTAAAAGGGAAATTATTATTCAGTCCGTGTTAACATGGTTAAAAACAATAATCGATTTTTTTGCGCAATATCAGAAATGCAGTGAGTATTTTAGCAGTTTTACAGGCTGGTAATTTTTTACGCGGGATGACGTAGTCAGCCAGCGTTAAAAATTCGGTAGCGCATTCCTTTCGTCGTCTTGGGAGTCAAAAATTGCCTTGTTTTTTCCGAGCCCGTCCCGAAAAAATTGTGTGATTTTTATTGGCTGCAACTTCGAATCACGTGCAAGTCAAGTTGGATTGCACAAGCAGAAAAAAAGAAACTGCGTCAGCAAAGAAGGGAAAAGTAAGATTACAGCGTAGCTCTAAGAGGACGACGAGTGAAGGCTGTGCACTAGATCTAACGGCGCAAGACTTGGCCTCGGGCGACTGAAAATATTGTCTAGGTGGCCCAGCAGGGCGACTTGCTGGTGTTGATTTACAGTCAAACAGCTAAGATTGAATAGTATTACTAAGAATGTCTAGAATTTATTACTTGCGAAATCGTAGCTCGCTCGGTGGCTTCACGGCTTGAAAAGAACGCTCCGCTCGCTACGAAACTCTTGAGGTCGTCTTGTAAGTAGCAATAAGTAGCATGTCTATCAAAAAGCTTTAAGAAAATATTGCTAAATCGGGCAGCGGGCACGCGTTGTATTGATGCTCAAAGGTCGTTTCACGTGAATTCACAGGTAACATAATCCTTGACTATGAACGTGACAAGCTGCACAGTTTTCGATAGTAACAGCTTTTCATAATAACATTGAAATTTTTACTAAACAAATTGTTACTTTTGCTCTGACATGCGTAAAGTACGGTCCACGACGCAAAACAATAGTTTTGTGTTTTGAACAATCGCTGAATAAACCCGGGGGGTGGGGGTACTCCCATACATTACCTATACGGGTATGTGCCGCCCAACGGGGTCGTGATTTTGAAGCTCCTGATTTAGAACGGGGTATCCATTTCAGAAGCGTTTTCTAGAACGGGGTATAAAAAATTGTGGATCACGGGTTTATCTTCTGCTTAAAATTGTTGCTGATTATGAAGAAGCATTTATTTTATGTATAATGTATCGGTCAAATCGAAGCTTCAACAT